TTTGTGAAAATGCATTTAGTGTGAATATTTATCGCTAAAACAACAGCGATACAACAACAACTTTGCTCCTTACAGTATTTAACCAATGCGATTTGGCACAGGGCCTTTGTCAGGGTGTGCATTCATTACTCATTAGACACAGACCAACAGAAACAACTTGTTTAGCAGAAACAACTTATTTTATCATTTCCTGTGTGACATACTGGAAGCAAAATAATTGGCAAATATTTTGATATTCAATTAATACATAAAATAATTTCTCATGTTAAAATTTAATATTAAATGCCAAGGTTTTACCAGTTCCAGGTTATTTGTTTGGATTTGCTGCTCGTCTTAGTTTTTTACGTGATAGCAGTTTGAAAATCCTTGAAGTTTGCAGTGTGGGTTGGTTAAAACAAGCAATATGAAGACATCACCCTTGGCTTTAGGAACTTGTAATGGACATCTTTCTCTGTCTGCAGGTGCTCTGTAACATTCCTGTTATTTCAAGTTCACGTCCGTGTGAGGAGAGTGAAAGGCAGGAAGTCAAAGTTGGGGTGGTAATATTTTAGAATAGCATGACATGAGGTTTTGTGTGTGGGCCCAGGGGATGTGTTATATCCAGTTCCAGAGGTGGGAGTTTTATGTACTGATCCAGTTCAGAGCGCAGGGTAATCCCACTGTCATTTCGAGCATTTTATGTGGTTTGTACATTTCTTTTGATGCCTGGCCAAGGTGCTCAGTAATGTAATTTGCAGGTACCACCTCCCTGCCGCTGCTGGGAAGCGATAGTGCCTGTGGTTGCTTAGCAACATAGGCTGTTTGATCCCATGACTCTTTCCTTTGTTAATGTTGATGTTGTCAGTGTTGTACTGATTGAGAGGTATCTAATGAGCTGCTGTTCTTTTCATTCTGTGGGGACAATCAGAAGCAGAGGGAGTGTAGATGCAATAGATGAGACAGGTGAGGTGAGGATTAGAGTAAAGAAAACAGTAAGAAGAGCGAGAGCCTGAAAGGAAGGACTTAGCTCTACTTGGTTTCCCCCTCAAGGCAGAATCAGGAAACCAGTTACACACACCCCCACACCCTCCCACACATACGCGCTATCCCAGCCCACCATCTTCCCTGAATGTGCGGCCTATTTTCCCTGTCAAGGTGGTGTCCTAGATACAAAGTTCCATCAGATGAGTAAAATAGTAAGGCAAAGAGATTCTATCAAGGGAGATGTGGAGGATGGGAGTGTCAGCAAGCTCAATGTTTCCTTCCTCACGTTTTGATGTGTTGTACTCATTCCTTTTTGGATTTAAACCAAGACGGTGTGTGAAACCTCCGCTCACTGACCCGCAGTGAAATCGAAAAACAAGGGGATGCTTTTGTTATGTTGACCCTGGAGCACACACGTATTCCAACAGTTTTCCCAATTAACTCAGATGATGGTATCTTTAGAACTGTGTGTGTGTGTGTGTGTGTGTGTGTGTGTGTGTGTGTGTGTGTGTGTGTGTGTGTGTGTGGTGTGTGTGTGTGTGTTGTGTGTGTGGGAAACCCAACATCGGTCATCAGTGAACATATAATGTGTGTGTGTGTGTGTGCGCACCCACCCCCTGCGAGCCTATGCATATGCCCTCTCTGTTGCTATATTACTCCTGTGTGGATATCTGTGCGCTCCTGTTTGTGTTATTAATTAACCGTCAGTGTACATGTTCAGCCAGAGGAGAATTCACCCGGGTACGATTTTGACTTCTCAGTGCAAATTAAATTACTGAGTGTGGAGCTGGAAGAAACAGCTGGTGATCGCTGCATGTAGCTGAAAGGCGTGCAGAGCACATGGTGCCTATTATACTTCAACAGCACTTCCCCGAGTCAGCTGAGCTACTGTGAAATGCTACACTTGTCAGTTGTTTGTTCAACAGAGTGTCGGGTATTTTACAGCGTTTCACCGTCTCACGGCAGTGCTGTTATAACTTAACGTGAATACACTCGGGGCCCGATGCAAAAGAATGTCATCGACTTGCAGCGTGCCGTTATTGTAATGCACCGATCCCTCTAGTGTGTGTCCCAGCTGTGAGGCTTTTGTGTGAACGTAGTGGGTCAGTGCACTCACCGCAACAGCCCAGGTGCGAAGGTGTTGCCAGGCGTCAGTTTAATAAAGATGCAAACGTCATCAGTGCACCACCGCGGCCTCGCCCTCCCTGATCTTGTTTTGTGCTCTCTAAAATTAGATCACCTTTCTCCACACACTCTCGCTCCCTAACACGCACTTCACAGACGTGTACGTATACACTGGCCTCTCGAAAACTCCGAAACGGCACTCGTCTTTGTGCGCCTCAGTATTTTCTTCAACATGTTAAAATCCAATTAGCCTCCCTCCGCTTGTTCCTGTCACTCTTATCAGTCCCAGTCCCTCTGTAGACTCACACAGGATTTATTAAAAATTTAAGCGCCCCTCTTTTAGGGGGATAATATGTTGGAAAACCCTGCAGCATCAACATGAAGCTCGTTAATAATTCATGAGTGTAGCCTGGTGAAGGCTGTAGCACTTATGTATGCTTTGTAGTGCTGTGACATTTTAAAGAATTCAACCATGCAATAAAGCTTTTGACCAGGAGTTGATGTATTGCGTCTTGGGGTGATCCAAACTATACTTAAAGCTTAATATTGAAACTGATCTAATTTAAGTGTGCTTTAATTGTTTGAAAAAGACCTCTTTGCTAATCCCCACCACACATTCCTGTTGCAGTGCCTGTCGATCTTTCCATTCTAGTGAGGCATATACATATATATGTCTATTTTGCTAACAGCAGCAGTTTTGACATTCAAAATTTGTCGTAATAGTCTCCGATTTCACACAGAAGTAAACAAGAGTGGGACTTTATAGTTGACCACTGTCAATTTCTGTCGCCTTAAATATCGACTGTCGCTGGAAAATTTTATAGCTAGCTAGCTAAGGGGACACTGTTAGCCAGGACTGCACTGTCACTGTTTATTGGAGGGGTTTTAGTGGGGTAGGGGGTTCATCTGCCATTATCATCAAATATACACTGCTGACAGTTCTGCAGCCGTTCTCATCACAATGGAAGACAATGGAATGATTGTTGTGTTTATGCATTAGAAATTCTTCAGAAACATATAAGGGTAAAGTGCTGCTGCAGGGATAGTGTGGTATCCATTTATCTGTGTTGTTAAGAGTATTGTTGAGCAAAAGACTGAAACCCTTTGTGTTGTTCTGTAGCTGAACCTGACCTCTGACCTGCTGTGGAGAGGAGACGGCAAAAAGATGAATTTTTTTTCCTTCATGGATCAATAGTTTATTAAAGAACCACTCTTACATAGTGGGTCATCTCTTAACTCTCCGTCGCCATGCACCTCTCATCGGCAACAGTCAAGGGCAGCCGCCATGCCGTCCTCCATGTATCTAAGCAATCGCATGTAATGACATCAAATGTGCTCTCTGGTTTTGAAGCAGCCCCCACAGTGTGACTGAAGATTAGTTAATAATTCAGAGTTGTTGGAAGCGGCGTAACGGGGATGGTGTTCTCTGCTGTTCGCCTTCACAGCTGCATGGGGCCTGCCAGCGACAGATGGCTCGGCCCATGTGGAGAGTTTGGTGCCAGTAGAAGCCCAGTAGAGTGTTGGACGACGATTGTGTGCGTGTGTCTCTGTTTCTCTTTTCTCTCTCTCGCTCTCCACGCTCCTCTTTGTGAATCTCAGTATCTTTATACTTGTCAGTGCTATAAGCATAAATACCTCGCGAACACAGGAGAAAAACAAAATGTGCTGCGACGTCGGCTGGTTAATGCATTCGTTTATATGGTTTTCTTTCTCACAGCAGACTTTGGTGATAAAAGAGTTCTTTGAAATGCTGTGGATTAATGGATCATGTTTCACTTATTGCCCCATTAAGTTTATCACAGAATGTGGTCTGTTTTGCGTAGTTTTGTAAGTTATTCCTCTCCTGATGTTCCTCTGCGGGGTGTCCAGGTGTCTCTGAGAGATATTTTAAGCTTTTCCGCATGGGCTCGGTCCCCCCACCTCGCCCGCTGTAGTCAACGAGAGGACAGCTCTGTGCTACTTGTTGGAAATCGCAGCAGCAGCAGGACATCGGAGCCATTCTGTACAATCTATCAGAACCCAGCTGATGCTCAGTTTTTCTGGCCTGTGCAACATTTTTTCTTTTTTTTTTTTTCTGAGATCCATAATGTTTTCCACTGCGGGGATTCTAGCCTCTCTGCCAGTAAAAGATGGCAACAAATCTCTCTCAAATCTCAGTGAAGTTAAGGTGCGGGATGGAAATTGAATTCAGACGTGCAAGCACAGAGTTGTCAGGAATATGAGGTACATTTCCAGGTGGCTTTGCAGTTCTGTTGTTTATGTTTCAAAGACAAAATAAATGATCATACCATCTGCTTTATCTGAAATAACCATGCACAACACTCTCAGTAGAGCTGATCTCATTATCTTATGCGCGCACATTTTTAAAATTGACTTTCCTACAGGAGTGTAATGGAAACACACTGCTCTGACAGAGAGGCGTTTTAAGTGCGCCAACGAAAAAGTTTCATATTTAAATCATCGTATCACACAGAATTTGTCTGAGTCTGTCTATCCACATCACTGTCTGCTCAGCTGTGACTTCACTCTGCCAGCTCACATACTGTCCGTGCCAGCTATTGTAAACAGTCTGCTTGACTTTGAAATTTATATATGACACGGTCATCTGTCATTTGCAAACATTCCACAAGTAGTAAGTAAAAGGTTGTATTAGTTTGGATATTGTTCATGATTTCACTACTACATTCTTTTATAAAAATAAAAAAACAAAACAATAATGATAATAATCTTTGCTCATCTACATAGCTGTTACGGCCCGGCTCTGAGACCGTAACAAATAGGGGAAAGCACACATGGATGTAACTAAAACAAACGTTTTTTTTAAAAACAGAAATGAGTGTTTCGTCGACGAAGAAAAGAAAAAATCAAAATATTTCAGTAAATTCCAGTGTCCTGTCTTTTTGTCCCATCAGAGCTGCCAGAGAACTGGACAGACACCAAGGAGACGTTGCTGGAGGGGATGGTGTTCAACGTGAAGTACCTGGGCATGACGCTGGTGGGCCAGCCCAAAGGAGAGGACATGGCTTCGGCAGCCATTCACAGAATCGTCGCCACGGTGAGTAATAACCTTACTCGGCGTGTTATTTCACTCTGACATTCTACCATCCCTGCCTGACAAATCTTGTGTACTGTTTGGCTTCCATTGTGCCTTCTGCATGCAGCACATATCAATGTTGCATAGAATTCTGCAGGCACGATCGGCACCTTCATTAGCAACATGAAATTTCAAGAGTGACGCTGTGAAGATTTCAGTTACAGTGGCGCTTTTAATAGAAATTCTCCTGTGGATTTGTGAAATTACAGCCTCAGACTGCAATACGCATTATCTGAATGACTTAAAGGGGAACAGTTGTTAAATTTAGATTTTATCCATGTTACCCCGATGACCCAAGACAATGTTTTTTGTCAGGAGAGAAACTGGTAAATTGTTGCACCGTATCTCCAGTATATACAATTTGGAGTACCACCACAGACAAAGAGAGGGAGACTCACTCGAATCAGCAAGCGTATTCTCATGGTCATGAAATGATACTCATAATCGCCTAATTCAGTATTCGTGGATCAGTGTGGCCTTCTACAGTTAGTAAGGAAACAAGAAAGATGTGTCTTCTTTGTGGCTATTGAGGAAAACAATCTGAATGTTCAGTAAACTGCTGAACTGCCACCAGAATGACTTTAAACTGAATAATCAGAGGTGCACTCCTTCAACTTTTATCCACTTCTAGTTGGATCGTGTTTACATCAAGGTCAGTATGGCGGCATGAAATCAAAGCCGCTAATCCAGGATTATGACGAGTTGAACATTTGCAACAGTCAAACCGGTGATATGTTGTTTGCTCAACAACACACTGAGCCACACGGGGGATTTCTGAGCATGGTTCTCCGCATCGATTCGAGATCCTGTCAATTCACAAGACCGTTTTCAGAAACTGCAAATAGAAACTTGGAGACGCACAAAAACCCCAATTATCTGCATGTTTTGCATAAAAACTTCACATTATATTCATGTATGTTCCCACACACACACACACACACACACACACACACACACTTCTCAATTACAGGCTGAAGCGAACCTAATGGCAGGATTAAGATTCAATCGATTTACACCAGGACAGAAAAAGAAACCCAGTTGTCTCTGTCTGTTCCCTTGGAAACCAATCAGCCTGAATGGGATGACTGAATACATTTGTGACTTTCCCATTTATGACATGCGTTAGTCAGGCGTGATAAGACAAGTCAGGGCGACCAAACGTATAGAGAAAGGTTGAACTTGGCCTATCTCAAGCTGACAGACTGGTTTTTGCCTCGTGGCGTGACACTTGTAACATGACAGCAGAAAAATGTGGTTGTTAGCACTTCCTACATGGATGAGCTGCCACAGTCAGGCACAGCACCCTTTCCCTCTCAGTTTCCCATACATGTCAGTGCTGTGGGTTTAAGCAGAGTGGTGCTGTTGGTTGTCACCATCTCCAGGGCATCGAGGCTCCTACAGAAAGCCGTGGCACCGTTCCCGTCGTCCCCGAGAAGTCCTAGTTTTTTCTTCAAGCAAAGATCCTGCTCCTTTTCATCCTCAGCTCCTCTTCTCAGTGTTCGCGTTTTTATTTCACCTCCCGCAAGAGCGAAAGCGTTCTCATGCAAGGTGAATGCATAAATATTTCAGCAAAGGGTGAAATCACGTTCCTTTTTAAAGTCCCGTCTTTTTTTCTTTCCCCTCTGTATTCGTTGACAGTCACTCCACTTGCTGTCATTTGGGTGTAAAACTAAGCTGCTCTCTTTTGCTCACTAATTTTATGGTAAGGAGGTCATTGTCATTGTCAACAGGCGTTCACACAGACCGCAAGCTCAGCACTATGGCTGTATTTTCTGAAACTCCAGATGGAGCAGAGCGGCAGGGGGAGTTGGTGGCTGCCAGCCCGACCTCGAGTACTCGTTCTGGGCTACACATTGCAGCTCTCCTCCTGCCCCCCCCCCCCCCCCCCCCCCNCCCCCCCCCATTCTGTCACCTTTTATAAATTCCCCACATTTCTGGGACAACTCATGCAGGCTGCTTGTTTTTGCTCGACAGCTACTGTCGCATTTGAGGGCTTTTGCTGTTTAATCACAAGTGCAATCATCTAATATTAATGTCAGAGAGACAGGCTTGCTCTGTCTGCGCCTGAGGTAAGAGTTTCTCCATCTGATTTTAATGTTTGTGTGTGTGTGTGTGTGTTTTTTATATTTCATATCCACAGGCCAGAGCCAGTGCTAAGAAGTTTCGGAAAGTAACGCTGACGGTCTCACCGAAAGGCATCATCATCACAGACACGGAGACTACAGACCTCATAGAGAATGTCTCCATATACAGGTAAATAATTTCTAGGGTCTAGGAATGCCAATGCTGCTCTGTCAGTCAGTCCACCAGACTGAAATATTTCAACAACTACTGGGTTGATATTGCCATTAAATCTTGTGCAGACATTCATGGTCAACAGAGAAAAAAAAAAAAAAATCCTCATGACATCGGTGACTCCCTGACTTTTCGTCTACCGCCACCAGCAGGTCGACGTTTTCACTTATCCAGTGACATATCTCAACATCTGCCACGTGGACTGGCAGAGAAGTTTGTACATGTATTCATGTTGAGTTGCTTTTTATTGAAATGTCTTGACAGCCATTGAATAGATCGCATGATACACATGTTAACGGTCTCCCTCAGAATTAATTTTTTCTGTAGATTCTGATTGAAAAACATAGAATTTATATCAGAACCTGCAGAGTGGAGTGCAGTGCCAATGGCCTCAAGCAAATAATTAAAAACATTGTCTTACTCTAAATCTTCATATTAGTTACCTCAATGAGTGAATGCCTGCCTTTATAAGCGTGGCTGAACAATATGACCCAATACAGAATAACTCAACATTTATGGTTCATGAACTGGATTCTTAGCGGTCTACGCTTTATTAGATGTTTCATCACCTGTGCGTCACAATGCTGCTTATTCCTCAAACTGAGTCCTAAAAACGAAGGTGGCCTCATTTGATACGTGAAGAAACTGATATCATCTATCTAGGTCACTTTCCCCTCTGTCCACTGCTTTGGCTCCTTTTTTCGCAGGATTAACCCAAGCAGCTCTCCGCTCAGTGAGTCTCATGTTTGATCAGTTCACTTGGAAACCAATAATGGGAGGGTGGGAGGGGGCCGCCGGGGGTGTCTGCTACTGTGACTCTGTGTCAATGAAAGCTAACCTTTCCCAGCATCACGCTAGGTTTCAGTCTACCGAATCAGTGAAGAACGTGTGTGTGTGTGTGTGTGTGTGTGTGTGTGTGTGTGTGTGTGTGTGTGTGTGTGTGTGTGTGTGTGTGTGGATTGTGATGTGTTTGGCTGGCTTCCCCCTCTCAGGATAGCATCCTGTAATATAGACTGGGCCTCATGTCATTGAGGATTACAGTCTAAATATCATATGGCTGGACTATGATTACAGAACAGGCTCCGATGAAGACGGAGGATGTGTGTGTGTGTGTGTGTGTGTGTGTGCAGAGGTCTCCATCCCATTCTGATCCACCTTATCAGCGGTAACAGACCACAGGCCAGAGGAATCAGCCTCGTCTTTGATCCCCTTCTCTTCTCTCCTTATCTTCCCCTTCTCTACCTTCCCCTTTCCTCTCCACTGTGCAGACAGACATCTTTCTTTTCTGCTTATATTAACATAAACAGAGCTCTGAACGCAGGAATACCCACGACTAATTGCTCGCTTTGATGCTCACGCTGCCAGTCTTTTCCCATACCCCCCCGAGTAATGATACAGGAGCGACTGAGGGGCCACGTATGGAGCTCGGGTTGACTGAGGATTGATTTATCCCCTTTATGAGACCCCACCCCCACCTCCTCCTCCTCCTCCTTGTAGCCCCCCCTTCTTGTATCTTATTTTTGTTGCACATAATCCATTTATTGGCCCAGAAAAGCAAGTGAAGGGTGAAAGAAAGTGGAGTGTAGATTTCAGAGGGATGGATCAAATCAGCCTGTGTTTACTGTGCTTAACATATAAGGGCGAGAAGAGTTAGATACACAGTATGTGTACACACATGTCCACGCCTGGATGCACCTGATATAGTGAGTCTGTATGTAAATGTGTGCGTTTTTAAAGTTCATTGTGTATCCACACTTACTGGAAGCCGGGCTGTTTCCCTCAGGGGAAGCTTAGTGGGGGAGAGAAAACGGACCGGAAGGCATTGTGCACCGCAAAGGAAAAAGGGGGCAAATAGGCTCCTCCAAGCCATCATATCCACCCCCCACCCCCGCACACACACCTTCCTACTCGCACCCACCCACCCATACGCAAACAATACAATATCATACTTAATGTGTTCACAGTTTCACAACCTGATATTTTATTGGGCAGCCTGGTCAGCCTCTCAGTTCTTGACAGCACACTTTGCAGTGCATCTAATTTGCAGCATCAGACACTCAAGTTAAATTATCATGAGCTTGATCTTTCAACATGATCAAGGCGGCCTTGCGCTGTTGAGGTCTAACTGCTGGATTTAGCAAAGCACTAAACCACACAGGAGGTTTGATGATATTCTACCACAATAATAAAGCTCGGTTGTATTGACAAAAGTAAATATCACAGTATTTCTCTTTACTAAATAAGTCAATAATCTATTGAAACATCACAACGATATAACATGATGCTGATGACTATTTGAGCTCAGAGAAAACATTTGTAGCTGGTTAGCTTAGCGTTACATAAAGATTGGAAGCGGGGGGGGGGGCTGATATCCTGGCTCAGTCCAATGATAAAACAAAAGCCTGTAGAAGCACATATCCCCCTGTAAAACTACAAAGTCGAACCCTCACCCCAGTCTCAGGTCGTGCCTGGTTCCTCAATTTGGCGGGACGAGCAACTGTAGGAACAGTCTTGATTGGAGTTTTACGGGCCACTGTGCTCCTGGGTAAAAATCAGAGCTTTTTGAAATGGTTTTACGCCCTGAACTCACCACAGCTGCACTGCAGAGGCTTACAGAGAGTTTCTGGGATGTCATGGTTTGTTTTTTGTCCTGACATGTAGTGGGAATTGTGGGACCTCAGTTCAGTTTGCCACAGGTGAACTCCAGTCAAGTTAAAGGAAGAGAACGGGATGTACCTGGAGTGCCGCAGCAAAAGGTCTGAATACTTTTGCACATGAGAGATTGAATGAGATTTTTATTAAATTTGCTTTTCTAAAAACACGTTTTCACTTTGTCATTATGGGTTATTAAGTGTTAATTGATGGAAACAAAAATGGCAGTTACCCCCATGTAAAATGAAATCTCCAACACAATAACGTGTGAAAAAAGTGAAGGAATCCGGACGCTATGTGACATCACTGTACGGTGGCAAGAAGAAAACATGGGCGACTGGTTAAAGCAGCCACTGTTTTAAAACAGAAGACCAGTGGTTAGTTTGGTTCTTGGTATTGACAAAGTAGCCTGGTCTAAATGCAGGTACTGAATTCTAATGCAATCAGTCCGGCCTTATTTGTCCTTGTTTTAAAACCCCTTATTTAACATCCCCCAGTGAGCAGAACATTGTGAGGGTGTTCAGCTTCCATCTGGACGAGTTTCTGATTCATATTCTGACAAGAGCTCTCGGTGACCGACCTGCATATCAATCAGCAAAAACATTGCAGGACAGAAAAGGAGAGATGAAACACTGACTGGCACTCCACCTGGCAGTGATGCACGTTGTTCTGCACATGCCATTAGATTAGTGAGACGTGTCTGTAGGATCTCTGAACAGAGGATACAGGGACGTGACTGTGCTGCTCATGAACCTTCATGCAAATGTTTTCTGTTAGCGTGAGAGACTGCTTTTTTCAGCACTTTGCAAAAAAAAAAAAATAGTTTTGATGAGGCCTGCTCCCCTGCAGCAGGCGCAGAAGTTGTTTTTCATTATTGCACTTACATCGGGTTGAAAGTTGAACAAAAGCAGCTCATTGTCGTAATAAATAGCATACCTGCTTTATTCAGTGTACACAGAGAATTTGGAGCTTTGATGTGTGAAGTTCTATTCAGGCTTTGTGCTGTAAATATTTAAATATTACCATTGATATTCCGTCTCTTTCTCACAAACACCGGTGCTCTACACAGTGACGAGATCAAAGGCTCGCCGTCCGCAGAGCCCCTTTGGAGATATGATGCAACCTGACAGCTCAGTTTCTGTTGTTCAAGCTCAGTGGAAACTCTGTGGTGCTGTCAATTATTTTATTTTTTTTCTTCTCTTGTTGTTTCAGGATGAAGGCTTATATTGTGAACATGATCCATTGTTTGTGACATTGGTGGCAGTAATAAAGATGTTGTCCTTTTCTTGCACCGCCTGCATGCAGACAGATTTTACAAAGAGACCTTCATACTTTGTACCTTCACAAAATAAGAGGACGATTGTGTGCGTCCTTGCCAAAAAGATGAAATCTTAAATGTGTATTCACTCCAGTGAGGTGTCTCTGTTGGCAAATTCACATTATTCTCACATGGATGTCATATTATAATGAATTCTCTTGGTTAGCCATATGTACATGTACTTATATGAGTGATCAGTTCTTATTCATGACACTCTTGCTGTTGATAATAGAAGCTACGGGTAATTTTACGGTCACCAATTAACTGTGGGAGGAAGCCAGAGAACATTCTTGCTGTGAGGCGACAGTGCTACCTACTGCACCGCCGTCTCGCCCTGAATGTGGACAATGAACAGCATTCCTCTGAGTACTTATTTAAAAGGATTTACAAGGAATATTTATAAGCATAAGAAAAAAAAATCCAAACCAAAATCAACTCTGGCAACTTTTAAAAAACTTTTATTCCGTTGCCTTTATTGCCTTTTAATATCCCTAAAGCAATGACAGGAACACAACTGCCTACTATTACTACAGTTACAACTTTAATTCCTATGGATAATGCTGTAGTATTGTACTATTGATAATCATGTATACAGGTATTAATATTATTGAAAAACAATAGTGCACACACAGCAACATGCAAACCTTTGGAGGCCTGAAAATTGCAAGTTGCACAGGAAGTAGAAAGTAGTTAATACCTCAATAAAATGATCATTAAAGATCTTTATTGAGCAGTTACAGTAGTTTGGTTATATCACACTTGTTTTCCCAACTTAAATAGGTCAACCCTTTCAACTTTTTCTCTGCTCATTTTTCTGCAATTAAGGCCCAAATAAGAGTTTGAGCACATGGGAGAGCGGGTGGGGGTGTGCGGGTGGGTGGGTGGTTGGGTGTCTGTGTGTGCGGCGGGGGGGGTTTTTGGGGTGGGGGTGTTGTACAGAGCTGGGTGTCCTGGGCATTGCTATGTGGGTCATGCATCAGCGGTGCGAGCCAGCAAACAACGAGATGTGAGGGCTGGTGATTTCATGCTTGTTTGTTTGATCGAATTAATAACTTCCTTTTTTTTCTTTATTTTTTTTCAGTGCCTCTTTTGAAGTGGGCTGTGGATTTGAGTGGATTTGCATACAGTTTACAAGTTACTGTAATAATTACGGAGAGATCCACACACTGCCGCCTGCAGTCGACATGCATTGAGAGACCCTGCGTATCTAAATCTAACTGAGATTGAGAACAACTCAGCTTGTACGGCAGAGTTTTTTCTTTCCTGCCATAATGAGCGGGAAAAGGAACCAACCTTGTCCCTGTGCTGCCTACAATAAAGGTTGCATGTTTAATTATAGTGACAAAGGTCAAATGCATCACTCACTGCGGCTCATTTACACATCTATTTAAAGCAACAAACATGATGCACACTGCTGGTTCATGTAACGGCCTCGGACAGACGCACGGCGGGACTCGAGATCGATACCTCTTCTAATAGCCTGCATAAAATCCGACAAAACGAATCCATCGGTTGCGCGTCTGTCGCTTCAGTGAACTCGTATGAGCTGTTGCAGGGGAGCAAAATGGCTCGGTGGGCTAGATTGGTTTTAGATAACCATTGAAAATCACAGGGCTGTGGCTGCCACTGGAATTGCAGACGTCTGGGTTCCTTGAAAACCAGATATTGGATCCAGAAGAGATTCAGTGTGACTGCTGCGAATGAGGTTTCAACTGCAATATAGTCACAGCGGAGATCAATTCGTAATCCGAGACTTTCCATTTTCCACTGACGGCAGAAAATTCTGATATTTCAACAAAGTGTACCCACACCACAGGGGGGATTTTTCTGTAGTCGATGGGAAGTTGCAATATGTTATGTAACGTTAGGGAGATTATTTTAGAAAGGAACAGTTTTCTTCACCTCTCGCAGTTTCACAATCATTTCTGCAGCTCTCAGAGACAAAACTCTGAGGAATAGCATACAGTACAAAAAGGCACTAGTTTTGAAGCTGTCGTGTGTCCCTGTGCCTCCATTATCAGAACATTTAACTGAGAACTTCAGGATCAATTGACAATCTGAGCCTTTTATAGAAAAAAAAAAACCAACAAACATAAATCAACAAAAAAAGCAATATTATGTAAACATTTCAGTTCATACACATGCTCTATCTGAGAGTACTAAGTTCGGAAGAGCTCAGTGGCAGCGTCGAGCATCTCTCATGCATGTCGCTGCCGCTCATTTGTCTCCTTCGCCACCATTCCCAGCTGTGGGACTTAATCAACATAATATTCATAACCGCCGCTCTCATCCTGCAATGATTGGTGGGCCTATGCATATGCAAAGGGTTGAGAACAAAAGCAAAGTTACGGCCTAAATTGACGTGTATCCAGTTTGATGTTAGCTTGATGTGTGAGGTTTGATTGAATGTACTGCATATGCTGTTCTTTGTTCTACATGTATGTCCTGTGATTAAAAAGACTGAAGACTCCCAGTCTGATGGAATTGTTTATTTATGATTATAAATGCACAAATGTCAGGATGATTGATAGTGTTGGTAAATCTGTAATAATGTTTTTTTTTTTTTTTGTTCTGCCTCTTCTCTTTCAGAATCTCTTACTGCACAGCAGATAAAACTCAGGACAAGGTCTTCGCATACGTCTCTCAGAGTCAATTCAACGAGACTCTGGAGTGCCATGCGTTTCTCTGCCAAAAGAAGAAGATTGTAAGTGCACAACACTTGTGATTTTGTTGTATATATCTGTATATGGCTGTGTTTAGCTTACAGTTATTGAATGTATACTCTTGGACTGTAGCAGGTCAGGAGGTCAGCTTGTTCGTGGATTGACTCCTTGTAATGAACTGCATTCAGGGCAGCAAGTAGCATGGATGTAGAGGGCGTGTGGCTCCATCTTGTGGCAGTCTCTTTAAGACCGCATCAAGTTACATTACCATTATAACGACCAATGATGAGAAATAAAGGAGATCTATGGAAATATGTTTGTTAAAACTTTAAAAACGTTTAATTTATTTATAAAAAGTTTAAATCTAATGATGTCAATCAAATTGAACAAGTTAAGACAAAAGTTCCAAATGGAATCACAACTAATCATTATATTCATTATCTTTTATTTATCTTTTGTATGTTTCTGTGTTATTCTTCCCTTTTTTTTCCTCCCCTTCTCCAGGCTCAGGCTGTGACATTAACGGTCGCCCAGGCCTTTAAAGTAGCTCTAGATCTTTGGGAGATTGCTCAGGAAGGTGAGTTCACTGACCAAAGTGAAGGTAACATTTGGGTAGGGCTTTCCTCTTGGGCTGTTTAGGCAAAATATGAGTAAGAAAAGCCTGAAATCCATCTAATCTGTGACTAATCGTGCTGGTAATCCCTTTGCCTTTCAAGCCAACTGGGCAGTTATTGAGAATGCTTTGTAAAAAACAATCAAGGTAACTCATGGAAAATATTTTTACATGCTGACGTCCACTCTCTTTCTGCACAGATGGATCCTACAATTTTCTTCACGTTTAGTTTTGATAATACTTAATGTGTCTACAGGCAAAAGCAAAAAGACCAGGACCTGCTGTTCCTGTGCGGCAAACAACGGGCAGACGGAGGCAACAGACACTCAGTGTGTTCCAGCTGGTGAGTTCCTTTTTGTCAAATCAAACCGAGCTCAACGGTGATGACGAGTGATTTATTAGTACATTTTATTATTAGTGTAAAGTTGCACCACTGAGCTTAACACAGCTGAATGTATTGTTGATAATTACGACAAGAAAATTGAGGTTAATCTTTATCTTCCTCCTAAAGGGAACTGCAACTTTCTGTAAGCATGGTTTCCAATTTAAGGAAAAGCTTCGCGCAGTTAAATAAAGTGGAGAAATGCAACATTACTTTATGTTTGTTCACTTTTTTGCTGACAGATGAAAAGGTCAACATCACTCTCATGTTAGTATGAAGCTTGAGCCAGGAGACGGTTAGTTTAACGTAGCATAAAGACTTCTTGCTGGTAGAAACAGCCAGCTCGGCTCTGTCCTAAATTTAAAAAAAATCATTCTACCAGAACCTCTAAAGCTCATTGACTAACATGCATAATTCATTTTTCTGCTGTTGATCAGTACAAAAACTGAAGTGCCAAAACTGCACTTTGGGCTTTCACAGGCAGTTATGTGCCAGGAAGTTACTGCACCCAGCCAAGAAATGTTTTTGGCTCATAACCGCTTGTACAACCACAACGTGTCAGTTTTTGGACTTTGGGTTTTTGCATGGATTAAACAAACAAGAAATAATGTGTGAGAGATATTGGTAAGCATATGTTTCGGGTTTCTTTTTGGACAGAGCCAGACTAGCTGTTTCTAGCTAAACTACTGAGGGGCTGCTGGCTGTAGCTTCATATTGACCATACAGACATTGGAGGTGTTATTGGTGGTACTGATACACGGCATTGCTCTTCTTATCTAAGTCTCTGCAAAAAAAAGCTGAAAGGCCAATTTCCCCTCCCTTGTTTCCCAAAATAAGGAAACAAATTTTTATTATTTTTTTTTTAAATTTTTAATAGCTTTTCCTTGCTGTAGAGGTTGTTACAATTGAAAGTGGCCTGTAAGAATTCAGGTGTTGTAATCCCAGGAGGACGAGGATAAGGATTATGTCATTTCAGCATAACTGTAAAAGGCTGGAGAGAGAAGCTGCTTGTCACTCACAAGATTACACCGATCTGATTAGCACTGTAAAAATGACAATGATAATGTTGCAGTCACTGAGCTGAGATGGTATTTAGATGCAGATTGGTTGGTTTCCATCATCCTCACAAACCCAACAGTTTCGAGTGAACATGATTGACTAAATGCTGCTGCAGTCGGTCGCATAATGACTTTTAAAATGACCTTTCCAGTTGTCGTGTACATGTCACTAAGACTTGTAATTCTGGAATGCTGACTCTGCGCCCTCTCGCACACAAATTTAACTGATGCCAATCACCTTCTCATACACATACACATACACATACACACACACACACACACGGAGAGCAAATCACCTAATTACATATGACTCATTAGTCATTCAGAGTAGCAGTAGATTTTAAGTACTTTCCAATAGCCGTGACATTTATAGGTCAAAATATTTTCCACTTCTCAGGGGGTCAAATGGTTTATAAAAATGAGATTTAATCGTCTGTTCAGATTTTTGTTGGCTACAGGCCTGACTTTTCCAGCTTCTTTCAATTAAAATGTCCTCCAGTCCCAGTGGTAGTGACCAGAGGACAGAGAGAGAATCTGGTGTGAAAGCCTCGAGGACCGTGGGAGTTACTCAGAGAGATGTATGAAAGTTTCACAGACATGATTTCAATTCTGCCTGTTGCACAGAGAGAGAGATGTGAGTGCCGCAGTCTTAGGCTGATGTTTTGCTTCTGTGCTGCAGACTGCAGCAGAGGCGAAGAGACAAAAACGCTAACGAGTCTCCCTCTCTCTCCTGTCTTCTGTCTCTGTCTCACCCTCTCTCGTCCTCCGTGTTTACTCCCCTCCGCTCCTTCACTTTATCCTCCTGTCAACCTCCCGTCAACACCTGCCACCTCCCTCCAGAGGCGCACAAGCCTGTTGGGATGGAGGAGAAGCTGCGGAGGCCTTTCTTCTCCGCCTCGCTCAGCTCGCCCTCACCTCGGAGCAACCCCACTCGAAGGCGACCAATCAAACATGACTCCTGGGTAGGTCACACCATCTGTCTCCAGTCAGCTGATGGGTCTGATTGGGCCAAACTCAACGCTATAGTCAGCTTACTTGTTCAGGCGACAGGTTATCCTTGATGTGCTGTGGGTTTTTTTTTTAAGGAGTCACAGATCCAACATTTTCTCTCCTGATACCGAATTCTGATACCTCAACTCAGGAAATCTGCCGATCCAATAGCAGTTCTCTATTTCTCCCAACTTTAATATCCATGCGCCTCACTGCGTAGAACTCATTGGAATAATATTTATATGAGGTAATATGAGGCCAGGGAAAGATTCTAAAACCTGATACCACTTTATAAAGACACTGAACAAGAAACTGTATTTAATGTGGCTTCATCACAGATCTGCTTAATAAGATCTGTCACAGGATATCCCTAGTATCCTGTGTTTTGCCAACTGTGTCATATAGTTGCCTTTCTCTTCCTTGCTGGGTGTCAGTAATTTACATTATTTGTATATAAGTGCAGTTTTAAATTCTAGATATTTGAATATCTCTATCTTTATTGGCACACAAAACCTTGACAGATGTGTAAAACTTGCCTTATCTCACCATTTAATGCCATCAGAATTGTCTCTTCTGTATTCAGTGTATTGAATGTATGTATTCACAATAAAATGTAATTTAATAAAACATTTAATTTACTGTTTTTAGAGCAAATAAAGTAATATACTAAAACTCATCATAATAACAATTTTATTCATTCATTTTAAAACTTTGAAAATTGAATTTTATCAGATCGTTAGATGAGGATAACCATAGTATAGCAGATATAAACTTAGAAAAGTTTCATTCGTCGATGATAAACCTTTCACAAAAACAGAGCTAAGTCACCCCCACAGTGGGTACATAAGTCTACAAAAGTCTGAGACCACTTTACCACTCACTCGATTTGGAACTGTGTCTCTGACTTTTGGAAACCACTGTAGGTGACACTTCCTGTCGCACTCTGGAACTGAATGAAAGTGTCCTGTTCGCTCAGCCAAAGGCAGGATGCCAGATTTTACCTGAGCACAAACAGACCTCTGTGCTCTGCTCAGGCCAACGGAAAACAAACACTCTGCTCCACAGCATAGTTTTCTCATGACTTTAAATAAAGAGTGTTTGCTTTTCAATGACATCATTAATTACATAGGTCCTGTAAAACTGAAGCAGTTAAATTCAGAGTTAAACAAATTTAAATGTTCACGCTGCAGAGGTTCCTCAGACGACATCCTGTTTGTTCACTTACAGATGTTCAACACTAGGTGACACCATAATCATTGGAATATCTCCCCCTACAGACTGGTCTCCCTTAGTGAAATTCATCTGTTTTCACTGTGGCATATTTTCTTCTCATTGAGTCCAACACTTTCCTCTGTTAATATCTTTCCACATTTACACTGCATAGAGTTAAATGTAATATTTTTTCCAATGTAGCAGAGTGGTGTCATCAGATTGTATCTAAGAATACTATACTATGATAATAAATTAGAAGAATGCAAGGCGATTTAAATAGGTTGGAAAAACTAGAGCAAAGAAAGTAGAACAAAGAGTTTACATGGTATTCCCTGTGTGTGTGTTGGAGACTACGTCATGGAGTCTTGGTGCCATAGTGACTGAAACAGAAAGATCCATTTTGCCAGATTAGCTCTTGAATTAATTTATGTGTCATTTGAATAAAACAAGTTGTGACAAACAACTGGCGACCCACTGGGGCTTGAAAGTAGAGTAGCAGCAGGATTGTAATTTGAAGTAATTTATGTGCGTATTGATTCATATTGTTTATGTCTCAACAGGATGTGGAGGATGGACTTGATGATGCGTTCTCAAGGTAACCTTTGCTTATGACTGCAAGTCTGCTCAACACTAATCTTTAATTTATGAAAGGGGATGGGATTGTTTTTCCACACAAACTACTTCAATTCCCCCCAGCCCCAGAACAACAAAATTTATGAAACCAATTTAATGTTAATTTCAATTCCAAGCAGAAAATAGATCACCTTTTGAAAACTGTCGAGCAATTGCAGAAAATGACAATAACCTGGCAGTAACAGTATCAGATTCTTTTAAATAAATTCTTTTTAAATAAGAAAACCTTTATTTGAAACATTGACACATTGATATTGAACTTCACACACGCCCATACACACACAAACACAGACAGGGACATATAAAGATGACATTGTAGTCATGGCAATGGCATGAGGTAGAAAGGATTTGTATGAAAACAAATGTCCTGTCCCAAGGTTTTAGATTGGAAGGTGTTACTGTATTGATCGTGTGGTTCCAACGCATTGTTGTACAAGTCATCACTGACTGTTGAGGTGTTGAAAATGATGAACTTTTAGAGATTTAAAAATTACATTGGGAAAAAAAAAGATTATATTGTAGACGCACATAGATAAAAAAAAACACCAGTTCACAAAGCTCATTTTCCTGGTGTCTTCAGTCTTTAAGCTGCACTGAAGTACTTCCTTCTAGCTTAATGTAATAAATAACTGTAAAGCTCTGGTGTCTCATTAAACCAGAGCTGAGTAATATGAGAAGAAATTATTATATCAGTTCTAATCAAAACAAAATAAATGGCTTAATTCAGTGACTTGATCAATTCCCTTGTACAAAACTAGTTATGTTGAAATACTTCACTAAAATATCCCACTTCTAAAATTGACTTTTTGAATGATGTCTAATTTCCTGGAATAAGGACTGCAGTTACAGTCGGACAGATATAATGTTTCATTTTGTCAGATAAAACAAACTCGTTTAGAAAAATGTTGCAATATCATCTTGTGATATTTTCTACGATCCATTTCTGGAGCTTCATAATAACACAGTTTATTTTAAATTGAAAGTTTTATTGTAGGTATTTGAATTGGAGTCAAAGCATTAGCTGCAGCTGAGAAAACTGTGGTTTCAGCTCTTCACCTTTTTTTTTTTTTTTTTTTTTCCTACAGCATTACCTTTTCTACTAACCAAAGATATCCATCACTGTACAACATACACCGTTTAACAAAACATGTGATTGAGCTATTGAAATCTATTTTAAAAAAACAAGCAGGATGAACTATAGAAAGCATGTGTACCCAGCGAGCATCTTGAACTCTTGCGAGGTCACTGTGTCACGAGCGAACCACAGCAGACAGTGGCGATGCCTGCCGAAGTGATCGCCACCTCTGCTGACAGAGCTGTCAGGAGCGCAGCCGCTGAAGCCAGGAAGGGCGCTCCGCCGTGCATCAGCACTTTATCACTCAGCTAGGATTACAATGCAACACTTTTTATTTTGAAAGTGTGACAGTCCGTGAAATTGTCATTTCATGGCCGTGAGATGCCCCGCAGAGACGGTAAAATGTGGGTCCCAGGTGAAATGTGAAGCTTGACAGGTATGAAAAAAGTCCCACATGGACGTGCTCCCTCACATGGACTCCAGTTTTAATAAATGTGGTGGAAATAATCCTTATTCTGGATTATTACTGCACATATTTCCATATAGCTGCACATTCAGATAGGACTAGTGAACATATTCTGCGTTGTGGCCTACTTCTGAGACATACAGTACAAACAAATACATAATATCATGCATTTGGTCCCTCTGACATACTCAAACTCGAAACCCTTTAAAAAATACTTTGATATTGCCCGCCCATGCACCACAAACTGTTGGGAATGTAGGCCACACAGTCTGGTGACTGTATGAGCGCTCTGCATGGCTTCTCATATCCTCATATAACCAGATGATATGTGTGTATGTGTCCTGCAGTGCTGTATTATCCTTCTATAAAGAGAGAAGCGCAGCGGAGGGATGGCGCCCCAAACATTAAAGAGATGGCAAGTCATTAAGCTGTGCTGGCCCGCGGCTAATAGATGTGTTTGTTGTGTTTGAGCATGAAACGCTTTTGTGAAAGCAAATGGGTAAATGAGAGGCAGAGATGATGTACACAAGCCTCTGTGGGGAAGCTGGTTATGTGTGGAGGCAGAAGAGGAGAGGGAGGCAGGCAGGCCGTCACTGAAGCTGTTTTTTAGGCAGGGATGAGGAAATACTGACCTCAAGCGTGGATGGCTGTCAAATGGAGGAAGGTGGAATACAACACCTGACATCCTAGAGGAAGTGCTGAAGGATTTTGGAGTGTTGGAGCAGACCTCCTTCTCTGCAGAGGTCAGAAAGGTTGTCGAGCTCTGAATTGGCGGTGCGCGCACGGTGGATAAGATTTGTCCTGAAACATGGGACGGCTCTGGATCACACTTGAGTTGTCATGACTGTCGCACCTATTTAACGGGACACGTGACTTGCCTTTAGATCAGCAGAGGAGGGTTGTGGTCTCGCTTCACAAAAATGGAGTCCTTCCAAATGTTCCGGAAAGCTCTCAAACTGCCAAAGTGGGTGCCACTCCACTCTTAACATGGTGCATTAAGGGCTGGCCAAGGGTGCAGCAAGATTTGTTCATTTTGATTTTTTTTTTTTTCATCCACCTAAAAACAAGGCAACATTTACTCAACTTAAGCTACATTTTTATATCACACATTCAAGCAGAAATAAGCAATTAACCTTGAAATCACCCTATTAAAAACCCTGTAAACGATGCTGTTACTGTATGCCATAGGTGATTAACTTTAAATCCCCTCCAATTCCACTTGGGTATAAGTAGCAGCACAGTCTCTCGCGGCTGCTAGCAGCGCTGTATAGTCTTGTAAGTCCGGTTTCAACTGATGCAACCAAACTTACTTGAGTAGAATCATTTTTAATTAACTGTATGAGCGCAGGTCAGGGTGTGGGCCTCTGTGAGAAATCTCATTTTTAGAACAGAGGGAATCGTTATTCACATGGACGCTCGGTGCTTGCTACCAAGGCAATTGGTGCTCACAACTATTGGCATCGACTTCAGTTCAAATGGGTTTAATTAAATTAGATTTTTATTTAAGATTTCTTAAATTAATGGTGACCTTGAAGTTAAAGTCACCATAATGTAACTGCTGGCTTGGCTCCTAAGTAAACTAAGGTACTTAAATAATTTAACCTCATCTAAATGTGGCGAGTTCTTTTGCAATTTAAGCTTCTTTGAGTGTTTCTTTACTTTATACATGGTGGGGGGGGGGCAGCATAATATGCTGACAGCGGGGACAGCATATACGCAGCTGTGCACGCACACTTGTTTAGAGTCTTGGTGACCTCTCCGTGGACAGTTTTTTAGCAAGAGTTGCAAGATGTTCTCAGTGTTTTCACTTGTTTTAACCTTTACCGTTGATTCACATCATCACGATTTCTTCTGTCCTCTACTTGGCATGCAGCAACATGGAAGTAGAGATGGACACTGGTAAGTGATGTGACAAGTGAGTTCTTGTTTGGTTCTGCATGTTGCATGAAACCGCGTGTTTAGAACAGCAGTAATTCCTGGACTTTACCGTTCCATCATCATGAGATCATCTAAACCAGTTGTTCTCAATTTTTTTTTTTTTTTTTTTAAGCACTGAGCCCTTTGGGCGAAACTACTGGCATCTGTATGTGGACAAAGCCACATTTTAGTTATTTTCCCCTATATCTGTATATATGTTTTGACTGTAAACAAAGCAGGCCAGCTACATTGTTCTTTCTGTGCTCAGGTTGTCATTTGATTCTGTTTTTTTTTTTTTTTTTATAAGGGACCTCATGGTTATTGTAATTCTCCACCTGTCTGCCTCTGATGGCTCTTCACATTGCACACGCTGTGTGTTTGCCCTTCCACTCATTCACTGTCAGTCCATCACACGAATCAACATCCTCTTCGTGCCCTTGCTACACTTCATCCTTTCTCCTCTCCTGTTTGCATTTCCTGTGAACCCTTTTCTTTTTCTGTCTCTGTCAGACTGGCCGAGTCCCGCTCCGAACCCGTCTCTGACGATGCAGCTCTGAGTCCCCAGGAGGTCTCCACTGTGGATCTGTTGTCTATCTGCAACAATGAGTTTGAATAACAGCCTGGCAACAACTGCCCAATTTACAGCACCACAAAAATTTGACAGAAATCATACCACAGTCTCCAAGACCAGATAAAAAAAACAAACAAAAAAAAAAAACCCAAAAATCTAACACACACACAAAACGGCATACATCAACTGAACAGACACGAAAACATATCACGCTCCCTGGTGCACAACCTGAATCAGAGAGGCTCTGTTTGATATTCTGTGGCTGCTGCAGAGAAGCCAGAATGAATACCTTGATATTATGAACTGCTATTTCTGTGAATGCCTGCCATTCAACACACACACTCCACTCAGTGTAAACAGCCATCTCCTGCCATATTCAAACATTCACAAACTGTCGGATGAAAGATGGAAGGAAAGATGTCACATGCACAGCGAGCAAAAATTATATATATTTCTACTCAAGAAGTTCCCACAGAAGATCACAGGCTGAATAATGTACCAAGTTTGGACTGTGTCTCCTTCTTGTAATCAAAACTTGTAAAAAAAAAAAAAAAAAAGAAACACCTTCACGTGTGGATTCCACTTGTAAATTCTGAGGATTGCACAGCGGTTTACTTTGCATCAAGAAGTGTGTGTATATACGGCTGCCGTCGCTCTCTGGAAACGTGAAAAATCTCTGATCCTCTTGTTTGTCTGGTGGAGCAACAGATGCCAGTCTCTTCAGTCACTGGAAGAAGTCCAGCTTTAGAAAACATCATCAGACGCTGGTGTGAATGTTCTGTCGTGATACTGAGTGAATTATATATTCCTCATTCAGTTTGTGGTGCTGATTGAACCACTTCCGCTTTGGAGAATTAAATGGCATGCGATATAGTAGTTTAGACGTTCAGGCATATGCAACATAAATATATGTGGTAACAAATACCACAGTCATGAGTCATGCAGTTAACATGTACAGAGTGGAGTGCAATGTTTATATTTTATTTCCAACAAATCAAACATAAGCTTGGGGTTTTTCTTTGGCCAGAAATTCCCAACCCAAAAACACCTGATGTGGTTGAAAGAAAGCTTTCAACCACATCTTGTGGCCTTCCTTAGCAGATGGAGTTGCTCAGTTATCATGGAGATGGTTTGTTGCATAACAGGTAGTTGAATGGGGTGAGTGGGGGGTTAATAAGCAATAGAGATAGATTATCTGAAGACAGAAATTAGTTTCCCTTTCTTTTCAACCTCATGTTCTCACGAGACCTAAATTCCATACATAGGTCATGTGATAACGAAATCATCTTCATGACAACTGAGTTACCTTATCTGCTGAGCAGGGACACGAGTTGTTGCTAAAGCTTCAGAAACATCAAGTAAGTGGGACTTGCGTTAGGTATTTTTAGCCAAACTACTTTTTTTTTTTTTTAGGTCAAGAATGAAGCTCCAAGCTAAAACTTAAAACAGTGATTTTTTTATTCAGTCTCTTTACAGGGTTTAAAGTTGTGCATTCAAGTGAACTAGAGCTTAGGGACCCTGAGCCATGCAGTTCACAAACTACAGTTTGACACCTAAAGCGATTAAATGTTGCACTTTGATAAAGTTTGCTGACTCAGAAGAGACATTATAAAAACAGTGATCAGAACTGAAGCAAAAGAGGCAGAGATGATGATATTCCCTAGTTGGAGCCAAGCTCCAAAAATCCTGGATCCTACTATTCCCATAATGCAATGCAAATCTTTTATTAGACCCCACCTCCCAGGATCAAACACCAATCTCTTTGTCTTTGCAATAAAAGTTTTGTAGTCTCCAAATCCAAGTCGGGATAACTCTGATGACATCACTATGACATCATCAGGGTCAGGACGAGGTTATACAACAATAAGCTGAACTTGATGTTTACCTGGTTTTAAAAATCTAATTCCAACACACCACCTTACTGCTGTGGATGAATCGGTCATCAGGATTAATAACCCGCTGGAAACTTGCTGACTTTATGTCATTGTCAATAGGATGTCTGTTTGCAATAGAAAGAAAACCCAATCTTCATCACTAAACATAACAGCAAATTTCAGTGCTGTCTCAGTTCAATATGACATACTGAATCTCTTCATCCGTTCCGCTGTCACACATTCAGCTGTTGTGAGAAGAATAGCAATGATGTAAGGTTATGAGGACAATTGTAACGCTATTAGAGTAAAGAAACCTATTTCCATATGCTGTATTTTTTCATTGTCAAAGCTGTGTAATTTATGTATGCCTATTGTAACATTATATATGAAGTAGGATGACTAGAATCAGGGCTTCACAAAAGTTGTTTTTAAAAAAAAAAAAAAAAAAAAAAGAAAAAAGAAAAGAAAAAAAGATCACTCTTGTTGAGATGTGAATGTGTAGATGCTTGTATGTTTTGCGTTAGGTTAGACAATTTATACAAACGTAATCGTATGTGGTTTTTATTACTGCAGGAATTGCTTTATTTTTTCAAAATAGCCATTAGCAACTCATGAACAGTATATAAGTCACAAAACAATGATCCTGTTCTCAAGTCGGTAATCACCTCTTATACTCACAGATGCAGTTCACATTTTCATCTCTTAACTGCCGCCTGTGCAGTAGAACATGTCCTTTGTCCCAAATCTTATTACAGAGAGATTGTTGTTCTGCACAGAGTCTGCAAATTATTTTTATCCACCACTTAGATGACGTTCTCCATCAAGAGGATATTATATTGTGCCCCCAGTCTGGCTGAAGTGGTCCGTCTCTCTGTATTCAGGGCATCATGACAGAATAATTGTGACGGCGAGAGGTAGCAGGGGCCCTGTGTTGTTGTCATGACACCCGCTGCAGTATAATTGGATGGCTTATCAGGTTATGCCATGAAGCTTAATTGCATTGTTTCATTCCTGACTGGCTGAAAATACCAGCTCTGTTGCATTTTTGAAAGAAAGCTCTGTGTTTTGTTTGGATATCATAAATAGCTGCCAGCATGTCTGTGGATGATCTGTTGAGCCATGTTTGCTTTTGAGTATTGGCTGTCAAGTTCAAGGTTAAGCAGGATGCGCTGTCCGAGCAACAGTTTAGTCATTTTACCTTTCTCTCCAACATCTTTCCTCCTAGAAATGATTTCTGCAACATTTTCTATCCTGTCATCTCCATCATCGACTGACTGATTGATTCGTGTGCGGGCGCCTCAGTATTCGCTGATTCAGAGCTATCGGGTGATATTCGGAGATGGGCTGTTGTCCAGAAACTCTCCGACTTAGAATTGGTTTTCAATAATGACAACCAACAAACAAGAGTTTTGACCATTTTTTTCACCACAAGCTGAATTATTATCAAGTGTATGAAAATGAATTGGACAGTTGTGATCTATAATTGGCACTTTTAGATATTACACTTACACTAGATACATCTTTCAACCAGTTTTTGTCCCCTGTAATTGATTTTCAAACAAAAACGCGGTGTAATTTAATTTGATTTTGGAGCCAAGCTTGTCCGGATCACTTTGGATCCTTTGAGAATTGAACAAAAGCCTTGTATAAATTATTTAATGGCACAGATCTCTAAGAGTTTTCTTTCATGTAGCGAGTGTACCGTATGCAGAACATTGACGTGGGCGGGCACCCAGCAAATCTTGAATGGATGCTCTTTGGCATAGCTGAGAGTTTTCTGTGCAGGAGGGGGGCAGACCTGCACTTGGAGGTATAACATGCCAATTTGAGTTGGGAGTGCACCGAATACAAATCACCCTGTGAGGCTCTGAGGCCTGAAAACATTTGAGGCTTGTAAAAAAAACAAAAAAAAAGAAAATCTTCAACTGGAAAAAGGGGAGAATTTTCAGATAAGCTATTATTAAAACCCAAAATGAACCACTGACGTTTACAGTATCGGTTTACTTTTCAAAGAAGGTGCTTATTTTCTATCTATGCAATCAGTGGGTTTCCAACCGTGTTGTGATATGATGATGAATAAACCACAAGCAGTTGTCCTAAACTGTGTAAAGATTTGTACAGAATTTGGTAACTGTTATGGTTTGTTACATATTTATGCATAATAAATGACTTTGTACAAATATTTCATTGCATTGAACCTTTTGTTTTATAAAATGCAACCTATCTCAAAGTTACAAACCATTCACAAAAAGGAACCAATGAGACGGCTCCGTGTGCAGACACCGGAGCCAAAATCAAACGTTCAGTGTGTGAGCTTTTTCAGTCTTTCTGTTGATGTGTTCAGAACATTTGACTCGAAACATGAACATGAATCCACACTGTTTCCCACTCAGACATTTTTCCAGCTCACTGTGGTCGATCAAAAGCAAGGACGTTCTCTTGTTTGGCTTGTCTGACTGACACAGTTACATCGATGCGTCTATTCAGCCCTCTGCTCTCGCCTGATTGAAAAGTTCAATAAAACATAGCAGGTTCAGGCAATAAAAAATCTCAACTTGAGTTCTGCTGTAAGAATTTACATATTTATACACCTAATATAATATTTGCGCCTTGACAGCTGTAATACTGCCTGTGGGTTAGATTGCAGTATGTTTTATGTGGCAGGCGGAGAACAGTGATGCATGTCATCTACAGTAAAGAGTATGTCACAGTCTTGTTCAGTGAATGGACTCAGGTGTCATCACTTGACCTAAGTGGTATTGTTGTGAATGGCCTTCTCTGGCCTTCCGCTGGCTCCTGATCATTGTCTTTGACTTCTTCCGGTTTCAGTCTGATGTTCACATGTAACTGTAATTAACATTTGATTGTGATTATTTAGAGGAAAGTTATCCATGAGAAGGAAGTCGTGTGAGAAAATCCGACCTCAGGACTCGTGTTTTACTCCTTTCCACTGGGACCAAAGTGAGTTAGACCTTGAAAACGTGCTTTAAAGCATGAATAGGTGTTTACAAGTGCGCCGGGAGCACTTCGTTGAGAAGCTGTGATTCGGATGATTTTTTTTTTTTAGTCTGTTTGTAGAAGCAAATATCAGTTTAATTTCTACAGCCATGGATGCTGCATCGTGACGGGGTGCCTCCAATGTTGTTGTCAGACTGTGCAGAACTAACAGCGGGGGGAAAAAGAAACAGCTCTGCTACACAGAGTGGGTTTGAAAAGCACCTGCAAAGATCACTCTCAGGTCTCAGACGTCAGTAATTTCAGGGTTACAGACGCTTAGTACCCAGCCGTCCCTTGGGTGGATGTTTAGGAGCAAATAGCATTTTTCACATTAACCAACCTGACCACTTTAATCCACTTGTAATCCGTTAGTGAGTTGGAGCCTCAGCTGCACTTTAAAGATCACTCTGACTTTGAAAGTTTGTTACACAAGCCAGAAAGCTCAACGGGACCACCCTGTGTTGTACCAGAAATCACAGGCTGTGGGCGAACGACGACCGCGTGGGGTAGCGGGCCCGTCCACAGACGCAAGATCAGCTTTGACATTAACACAGACCTCAGTGGAGACTGAGAAGCTTAATGTGGTGTTATTTCGTGTGCTGCATCGACGGCGACAGCTTTTGTACCGCTTGTAAGCTGCGTCTTTGCACTGTGGTGTTAACCTTTGTCCGGTGACACCTTCACAATCCTAGGTTTGAAAAGGCTGTTGGATATTGGCTTTATTTTGATCAGTACACTAGATCTAGCAGAGAAGCTGAGTCAGTGACAAGACTGTGTCTGCTTCTCTCCACATGAAATGCTTTTTGCTCTCTTCGCTGATCTCTGACAGATCTGAGCTCACTGCAGACAGACTACCTGCGTGTCATGCCAGCAGAGTCTGTGGCCGCCAGTTCAGCCGGAGAGAAATAAAAAAAAATAAAAATAAAAAAATGTTATGAAGTGCTGGAATGATGAAATAAGAATAAGAGGAAGAATAATGGGAAGGATTTTCTGTTATGGCAGCAGTGGACGCTGCAGTAAAAAGCAGCAACAACCTGAACCACCTCTGGCCCGAGACATTAACTGTAAGTCAGATAAAATGGAAAAAAAAAAAATCAAAGCCTCCTTACATGATCTCATATATTTTCCCATTAGAAACTATAGACTTTATAATTCACCAAATGATAAATCAGGAATTCTTGTTTAACTTTGGGGCAATATGTTCATTCTTAATGTCTAATTTGTCCACGGTGTCCTGGGATCTGCAAATGAACAGCTCATTTAGTATTCATAAGTGTGTAATTAATTGCTAATTAGCTATTTAACACAATTTTGAAATGCCTAATTAGCTACTGATAAGGTGTCCCGCACTTCCCTAACGGCTCAATATTATGTTGGTAATGGTTGCACCGTTTGATATTGAGAATCTATTGAAAGTGGCTGATGAAGGTCAAATACACTGGCATTTTAACCATGGCAGCACATGGAGAGCAGTAACCTGCAGGTGCTGTGGATGTTTTCCACTGTGGTTGCAGGTATGAATGTGCAGGTTATTTAGTACACAGCTGTGAACCAGGCGAGGTCTAGTTTCTGTGCCATGGGATATTTTTCATTTACAACAGGGAACGGGATAAATGGCTACATTTATAAAAATGGGATTCTAGGACTCGGTAGCACCAGTGTTCAACTTGAACAAACCTTTGATTCATCTATATTTCTGCTCCATAATCCAGGCAGAAATACATGAAGTACAGAGGAGGCTGTTGATATTGTTGTACATGGAAACATGGGGCCAATAATGAAAGTAAGCTCCTATGGAAACCCTATATGTATTTATAGACACGGTATATACGTGGGCCTAGATCTCTGAATCACATCTAAAATCTAACAAAAGCTAAATTTAGCCAGAACAACAGCTCATAAATCATCTGAGCAACTAATGGAAAGAAGTGTGCAGCACTGCTACACTGAGGCCGAGTAAGGACGGAGAGTAACATTACCAATTAATCCCTAAGAAGCAGTGATTGCTTCCTATTTTAAGATGAGCTGTATTCTTAGATACTTCAATGTAATTACATTTTTGATTAGGAACGTTCTAGTTTAAAGACCAGGTAAAATGGCTTATTAAACTAGTTCTGTAAAGTACTGCAGGAGACAGTTCCCGCTCGTCATGGATGAATGTATCCGTTGCTGGTGAGATAACTGCGGGTTTTTAGATTTTATGACTGCCCTGTAGTTATTGATGGAGGTTGTATTATTGAGAAAAGTGAGCATACGGACTCTATAGCTTCATACAAACATGTTTGTTATCACTGAACTGTGGGGAAATACTGAAATCTGTGATCAGCCCCACTCATAAACTTCCACTGATCTTTATCCTGGTAAAATCACATAGCAGCTCCAACACAGCCACTCATTAAGCTGACTTGAGAGCCAGCTCTTGAATTGAAGGCCTTTTAGCAAAAGTTTTTTCTCCTCAAAAAATCCCTGCCAGTGATCCCTTACATCAAATCTCAATCCCAGTTGTATCAGGTTTTCCCTGTGGTCTATGGCTCAGGAAACAGGATTTATGCTAGAGTACGAACCTGAACTCAGGATCCTCATATCGTAATGTGGACATATATTAAAAGTTCAGGTCTGAAGAAGTTGCACAAACGCACTAAAAAGGGTAGAGGTTGGGGACATTTCGTAAAAATATATGGTGCTTTTATTGTTGCCATAAATTCATCAGATAAATCTTTCGTGTCACGTGCACAAAATATGTTTTGAGTAACATGGTGGAAGCTTTTTTACATCAGAATGACAGAAGAGAGTTTACAATGATTTTAACTGCCAAATATTTTTACCTAATTAATTTGTAGCACTAGGAAATGACTTCCTGCATTATGCTTTTTATGATGCGACTTGGCAAGCACTTTGTGCATGGCGTGCAGTTTCCTGCTATAAGTCTTGGCCTCCACTTAGTGCACAAAATGCACCTTTGTAAAACTCGGTGAGCAGTTTGATGTGCATGACGTGCACAGTGGAGATGATTTATGTGTCTCAGTGAGAGGAACTCCATTACATTAGCTGCAACTTCGTAATGGGACATTTAAAAGAAGGTTTATTTTACACTTCAGGTTATACAATTGTCAGGAAATGTACAAGATGTAAAATGAAACACCGGTGTTCTGCTCTACAAGCAGGTAAAATAGAAGAAAACATTAACAGCTTCACAGTACAGCAATGATGTTTATTTGTACATTTTTGGCATCTAACTTAGAACGCACATCAAATGCTATTCTACAGGCAAATGACCTGCATGCAACTTCATTTAGTAAATGAATGAAATATGTACACGTGTTTGTTATGTATGAAATATGAAAAAATACAATGTAATCCAGAAAATGTTATTTTAATTTAAATAATAGGAAAAACTAAAGAAAGGAAGTGGTTGTAGTTCTTACAAATGAGTTTCTGATGCATGTGTTTAATTTCTCTCGTTATTAAAAATCTGGCCACAGCAGTGAGGCAATAATATACATGTGTGATCAGGCAGTATATTAATACTATATGCAATGGAAAGATGTTTTGATTGATGATTTATATAGAGTGGAGTTGTGTGTGGTGACACGGATCTCATTGCACATGCCAATATCAAAAATACACTGCGTGTTTAAAGCCATGAAGATAGGCCTCCCAGAGATGATTAAGTTGTATTGTGTGTTTTGTATTGCAATAACATACCAAGCACCTGGCAACGACATCAATGTTAACTGCACCATGGGTTAACATTCATTCATGTACTGTAGGTTTCTGCTAGCTACTGTACGGTGTGTGTCTGTGTGCAGGGTTGTGTAGGTTTGTATAGGGTTTGCTGGGTGGGGCTCAGAGTATGTATCTGTAGTTCAGTGTTGTGTTTTCCTACAAATACTTTGTGCATGCACGTGTCTCTTTTGTAAGACAGTCTTGGCCAACCTTATTCACTAATGATGAGTCACAGAAACTTTGTGTTTTTCGCTTTTTCTTTTTTTTTTTTATCACGCATCAGTGAGAAAGGTGGAAAATGCATTGATGGTAGAAGAGAGAGGAATTTAAACTGGCATTCCTTCTTCTCAGACTTCAATGATGTTGATAGACGGCACAGAGGGATGAAACTGCAACAGACAAGAAAAAGAAAAATCACCACTGATGTTTTAGTTTTTCTTCAATGCTAAAGAAATACTTTGATCATAGGAGACAAATGCTCTGCCTCTTGCTGATATGAACCCAGGTAGTAGTATTTAAATGCTGGAAGACTTCAACCACTGCGAGATTTTATTATGAAAAAACACAAATAAAGAGGTGTATATATTGTAGCGTTTATTGTATGTTGTTCTTACTTTGGTTAATATGCTGCAAGCTAATACTGATCTCAAGTGACTAATTCTCCAAATCAAATTCAAAATTAACAATCTTTTTTCCCCAATTTCCCAATTGGATTGACCCAATTCTCAACGGCCTGTTTGTACATGAAATTAGAATTAGAATTAAAAAAAGTTCTAATTTACAAATTTACTCAAAGAAATTTCAGAAGTATATCAGATTTAGAGTAGATGTCAATTGAGAGATTTTTCAAACGTTTATTTCTTAGTTACTGTACAGTACATTATTTTCCCAAGCCTTCCAGCTTTTTAGCTTTTCATTCAATTTTGTATTGAAATTGACAAAAATGTGGCTCGTCTCCATACATCCACTCATCTTCAGCGTTCAGATGGTGAGCATGTGGTCGTTCTGTCAGCTATAGACACCTACAGTATTGACTGAGGGAGAGTCCTCATCTTAATGTCGCTGACAGAAACCTTACATCACCATCTGACCACCTAATGAGGACTGGAACAAGAGATAAGCCAGTGCGTTGAAAAATCTTACAACGGCTGGCCATCAGCTAATTTAAAGGAGAGAACTCGATATGTTGCTACGTTAAATCTGAGACAGAGGTCAACGCTCACAACGCAAATGACCTCGATTATCGATCGGTCATGCGTATATCTGTCTGCTGCTCTCTGGCACTTTTTAAAAGGAAGGTCTAACACGCTCAAAGCTCCTTCGATTTTACTAGATTTGACATTTTTCACTGCAGGGACTTCTCGGTTCTTTCACTGGCCACTGATCTGCCCAGGGTTTCAACCTAAAACCAAACTCTGTATTCTTACAATGCAGCAGTTATGTCCCACTGTGTTTTCTGTGACAAACGTGCTGCTTTTATGTATTTTGTAATCATCTATATTTAAGGTATTTTTGACGGGGAAGCTTAACAACTAAGCTATATGGTCAAGATGTCTTCCAGCAACAGTCCTGTCTATGTAAAGATGAATGCAAGCATTAAATATAATGAGTAAACAGTTTTGTGTACAAGTTATGTACCAGAGTGGCAGGTGTCTATACATAGCATGGTTTAGAGTAGATGTATGTTACTGTGAATGATTCCAAAAACATTTAAACAAATTAAAAATTAAGCTTTTATTTTTTTTATTTCTAATGTTTTATTTACCAGTAATAAGAGTAAACATCTATTTCCTTTGGTTTGACAAAATATTTTCGAATTAAACAGAAATAAGCATTCTCTCTTTTTTGCCTCCGCATGCAAGCTCTATTTGCTAATCAAATTAATGTCCATTTATGTTTTGCATTTTAATCATGGGGATGGCTGCTTGCTGTTAATCTGTTTTATTGGAGAGTTTGTGGAGGAGTAAAGCACTGGAGAGCAGGTACTGCGAGGTTCATCCTGAGTCAGGAGAGGTATATGTCGACCTAGGCGTGAGGGCAATGCAACATACTGACCATTATTCCTTAAAAGGCTTTTTTTAATCTAGCTGGCAGCAGCATCACGCAGCGGAGTGAATCCCGTTGAAACAAAATTGATTTGCAGCATATATCAAACATCCTCAGAATGTCACCGAGCATTTACTGGGCAATATTTGCATCACTGATCAAGTGTCATCTCTCAGATGTACCAGAATTTTCAGAACCACAGTAATAAGGTTAATATCCAGCATAAGCAAGTTTGCAGTTATGAAGTGCCAAAGAGGTGGACACTTCATGGCAGCATGAGGGGGCTGAGCACATAGATGAGGTTACATTAATGCTATTATTCAGTGGAGGAAATTGATTCTGCTGCAAAGCGTGTTTAAAAACAGCACAGTAAACTGTAGAGCTGAGAGACAGACATCACCAGTACCTCACTGTGCACATCCTTCAACACATGAGACACTTTAAACACATCTACAGGCGGTAGCAGGACTGCTGTGTGTATAGAGAGACTCTGCTCTGTGTCGTTCTCACTCACCTTGCTCCTCAGCAGTCCTCCGCTGTGATGCTCCGGCGTGCTCCTCTCAGACGACGGCTTGGCCTTCTCCTTATTGTTGCTGGAGTCGTTGTCCTTGATGATGTCATACTGCCGGCAGAACAGGGCAATAACAGCTGCCAGGAGGTGAGAGACGGACACACGTGCAGCACACACACACACAGAGAAAGGAGGATAGGAGTTCAGTCATGAGGCGGCATCTGTCACTCACAGACATGTCACCACTTCTTCTAGCTGATCACGTTGAAAGGCCATGTGGATAATGGAATTCTGCTCCCAAGGGAGAGCGATGGCAGAGCCCTTATCTGAAAGTTTAGAAGACAGTAATTCTCCCTGGAGTTTGCTTTGTTGCATTTTTGCAGTCTGCCAGATGCAGTTCAGCCTCCAAGTTTGGATGCGCACCGTATGCTCACAATTAGCTTCCTTGCTTCGCTGAGGTTATGAATTTCTATGAGAACGCTATCATTAAATATTCAGGAACTGATATACAGTTCTAATGAGAGCTAGGGAGCTGTGAGAAATACTCAGAAGCATAGGCGTGATTCATTTAATTTACAAATGATTTTTAATGCATCATGTAAGCACTCTGCAATATTGCAGCTATATGTCATTTGCAGTGTAGCCGAGAGATGCTAATGGAAGCCAGGTCCACATTTGCACTCATATGTATCACGGTAAAATTACAGCAGTATTTGTGTAATTGTAAAGTGATTTGTCTGCGTTTAAACAGTTTGTTGTGATGTCGTATTAAAGTGCGACCAAATTAAACTGACACTTTCCTCCAGGATATCAGCACAAATTGGACAGCTCTGCAAACCATACTCATGTCTTTTAAGGTCTGCGCTACATTTTGAGCACTTTTTTTAACCAACAGCCGCTTACGACACAGAGATGTGGTTTAATATAGAGATGAGATTATAGCAATTACCTAATTACTCTATAATTCAATTCACTTTTCCAGACCGAGACTAAGCAACGGAAAGTAACAGATAAGGATAAAAGATGAAAGACGAAAGGGTATAGAAATCAGAACAGAAAAAAACAAATAAGCGATTGAATACAGAAATAAACCAACTATATCTAGCAGATTATGAATGCCTGTTAAAATGCAGGAAATAAGGTAAAGCTAAATTTAAACTTGAGTGGCTGCAAATGAGCAGTGGGTTATGAAAAAAAACACATGAGGTGTTTTCATACTTTCACTCCCACACTTCACTGCCTCTGCATTACTTTGGTTTCTCTCATTAGTATTATTTAATATCTCACTCAGGGGCTCAGGGGTGGGAAATCCTGCTCCTGGCTGCCTGTCAGTTATGCCACTTCTCATTGTGCCTCAACACTTCATTAATCAGCACACTTCCTCAGAGGAGAAGCTCATTCTCGGATGAAGAGCTTAGATACAGAGGATGCTCAGAACAGCATGATGTTGGTTTGACATTGCTGTTGTGAAACAGCCTTCAAGGGACGAGATGTTCAGAGTTGTCAGATTTGTTTCTGTGTGTTACTCAGGTTTTTGGACTATAATTGTTCTGGATGAGTGTCCATTGATTAGTGGTTTATTGATGGGTGTGTCAATGTACTGATGCATAGCTACAAGATAATGTACAGAGTGAAACCTCTGTCAGGTTTGCGCCATTAGTCTTCATCATTGAGGCTGACAATAATTGTTAACACGTTGCAGTTCCAGTCCAGTTATCTTTTTGCTTATTAAGCAGGATTTTAATTTCACTATTTCACTATTGACAACAGCCTCTCAATAACATCTGATGCTTGGCATTGGATTTATCGATATTAGACTTTATTGACGCTACAGTTTAAGTAATAACTACTGAAAGATCAAAGATACGTGTTACTATGTCGCCCTGAAGGACTAGGAACTCATGGTTGCAGATCGAACATTAATCAGGTGCTTAAGCTGAGTACTGATGACACTGATGACAATTATTCTATCAGTGTGGTAATATTAAAAACACTGATAGTGAATGAAATCTAGTCACATGAACATGTAGACTTAAGTATTTGTCTAGAAGATTGAATAGTCACAAAAAACTGAAAATTTGACATCGCCCCTTTCCAAATGGCCCCTCGCACTTGAAACCAGTGAGAAAAACCTGGACGTAAACACAAATACAGAAGTTACTGTTGAATTTTTTGGCAGAAAATATTATGCTCAAGTAGGACATTCAGTGCTCACTTTAAAAAGCTGATTGAGAAAATAGGTTTTCAGGGCCTTTAAAGTGTTTTTTTCTGATTTAGTGAATTGTGAAGTGAGTACTGAATTGATTCCTGTATTTACCAAATTGATAATAACCAATACACATTCTAAAAACTTACCAGCCCACATGACCAAAACCACCACAATGATGATCATCTCTCCTGTTTGTAGATGCCGTGACTTGTCCAGGCCTTGCACAGTTGGGTCATCTAGGAGAGAGGAAATATAGGGCATTGGCAGTAAATTAAAACTTCTGAACACTAAATACTGAATACAAATAACTTGTAACTCAAATATTTAAATGCACTTCAACAGAACGACATCACAAATAAAGGCCTCAAACATGATTATAGAGTTAATATAACACCCATGTGTCTCAGTATGAGCCGAACATTTTAACCCTCACAAAGGTTAACAATGCTGTTTCCAGAGCTATTTCACTGGATTTTGAAACTAAGAATTGACACTGTTTATCTCTCATGACTGTTACGCCATTTAACAAAAACTGTAATAGTCAGTGGTAGGCATTACCACATATCAATCTCTCGTAGCATTAATCCTCCTCTAAGTGGATTGACTATGGGCCTATTTCCACTCTCCAAACTATCTCTTAACCGACATGGATGGAACTCTTCCAGCGCACCACTCTTCCCAATTGCCTCATTTAGTGAATCAAGTTGTCAAGAAAGTGGCCCCGAATGCCAGACTGTCAGCTCTCTTCACATGATAGCAATTATAGAGTGGGGTTAGTTGTATTGCCATGTTTTGTAGTCTTGGTAGTAGTATGGATGGGCATGTGAGTGGAGATAGGGAATGGGTACATGTACACAAATTTGGTAGTTTAAAAGGACCTCGAATCAAAGAGAAGTGCTTGATGCTAGGACTTTTGTAACATGGTGGGCGCTACTTGTAATCTCAACTTGGAAGTTAGTAAAAAAGATCAGTGGAGGAAACTATGTTGACCACCGTAGATATCTATATGTATTGAAGGAAAAATGTGTCACTTTGCTTATTTTCATTATTGTAGCCATTCTGACTATGGTTAACGTTAACTTGGCACGAACCACCGCTGTTGTTGCTGCACATTACTCTTAAATGCCAGATCAAGACTCAGGTCAGTGCTAAGCATGACTGTGAGTTGTTCTCCAGTTTATTACACCCACATCTCCTCCATCTGTCTGAACCCAAGCAGCCCAATAATCAAATATAATAAAAAATAGTTCAATTCATTTTGATTTTCTCAGCAAGTCAAAAACTAAAGACTGGAAGACTGGATTTATATCCTGACATGTTATTTCTGAAAACAGAGCTGGGTCCAAGCCTATAGAAACTACTGGTAGAAGTGTTGGGATGATGACAGCACATCAAAGGCTGTTTCAGTAATGGATGTAATCTGTGAGGCTTGTAGATTCTGCAGGACTTGCCAACTGAACATCTTGTTCTTGTTTACAGTTTTCTAGTCCACCTAATGATCTCACTTAACTTGAAAAAGTGCTGTGGTACAAGCATATTGTGTAAAATGCTGATACACAGTGTGTATACGTGCATATTTGATGCAGCAGGTTTCAAACCACAGAGTGAGTGAACAGAATTTCCAGATGACCTGAATAACATGTCCTGCTGCTGTTTCATACATATTTCATGTTGGCACCACACTCAAATATGCTGTGTGATTCTTTGCTAGAGAATCACACAGTGGCTCCAATACACCAAAGAGTTTGTGTTGATATTATTAGTCGACCTTCCTTCGACTCTCTCTAAATCCCTTGATGTTGTGTGTGGCTGTGAACTGTGTCAGGAAACTATGTAGCAACACACCAGGGCTGTGCTATACTGGTCTCACATGCATCAGCTGGTTTATTCTTGCATTATGTTTCCTTGAAACAATTCATTACACTGAATGTTTTACTGCCAGCTTACAAATGTGAGTTAATTAAACTATATTTGAATAATTAGTTCAAAGAAAGCATAGAACCAACCGAATTAAGTTCACTAATGCTGACAAAATGAATTTAATAGATTTAAGATATTAACTTCTCGAATCGGTCACACTGACAAACGTTACAGTCAAATTTATTTTAATTTACATTTTCTAAGTTTGATGAGTCAGTTCTTCATTTTACACAAAGACCTTTAAGCTGTGGCTGCCACTTTTGCACCAGAGTTTGTACAGCTCTTGGTGAGTAAAGGAATGTCGGGAATGTTTGATGCTGAACTCGCAATTTCTTCTAGACTGGTAACTGTTAACCAGCTTTTAATGCTAACACTGGCTATGTAGCATTAGCAAAACTTAGCCTACAAGTAGCTCATTTAAAGAGTGGGCTGGTGGGGACTTAATCTAACACTAATCCTCAACAAACCAGCAAATCCTCACGATTGAATGCTGTTATTACATTATATTTGGCAGTATTGCTTGAAAAATTATTCGAATGATTATCAAAATAGTTGCAGATGAATATCTGTTTGTCCACCAATCTGAAAATCACCTAATCATTTCTGTTCTAATATCACCACTTGCCTACTGTTGGTAAATCAGTGTGCTGAAAACTTATATCTCTATAAACCATTAACTAAATATGGAGGTAAAATTATGCATCTGTTAACCTTAAAAGAATACGTAGTAGGGAGATAACAGTGTGCAGCACACCTTTGTCTCAGTGCTGGTAATGGGAGCCTACTGTAGATGTAACTTCTGACTCAGCAAAGACAGCTTGGCATGTCTTTGAAGTATCACACAGTAATTGTGTCTAAGGGGACCACCTACCTAGTTAGGTTTGACTGCTCAAGGCATCCATCCTTTGAAAATGTTCTTATTTTGCTCTCCTGTGTGAAGCAGTTCGACAGCTTGGTGGCAGCAGGTAACATTTTCATCAGGGTCATGTGGTTGATTGGGGAATTATTTGTATAACATATTTGAGTATTTTTTAACTGTGGCATTACTGTTCATGCTAACAAAGGCAATGCGTTCATTTACCCCCCTTTTTCATAGATCCTAAATCTTTCACTGTAAATCCCTGTATTTCAATAAGTCAGTTCATTCTCTTTGAATTCTTGTGTTCGTTTCGCAAATTTGCAAACATACAGTTGAAACTGCTTGAATATCAATGACCTGTGCCAACATACAAGTACAATGTGCAAGTTTTGTCTGAAAGCCAGAGCCACAGCACAACATACTTCACTCTTGGAGGGCAGGCAAAGCACATACATAAAGTCTCTGATTAAAAGCTTCCCATGGAACTAATGGAATGAAACAGACTTTGGAAAGACCTATTGATCCTGGAAAAAAAATCCACAGAAGCCTATTTAAATTCAAATTCTCCAGCAACACATGGTGCATATCTTGCCAGGAAATGCTTTATATGAAGTAAATGGATTCTGAATTTGGCCAGGCCAAGTATACATTAAGTGGCATATGCACTAATATGTAATCACATTATCAAAGAGAATTGCATTGAGGAAAAAAATAAAAGCATTATAGATTTATGGGTATCATGGCCCTGGCTCTTAGGAATGTCTGGTATATGCTGAAAATCAATTTAGTTTCAATAGGAGGCACTTGGCTGTGACAAAGGATTTCTGAAATGGCTCTGTGATGCTGCTGCCAGCTAGATCAGAAAGTCTTTTTAAGGGACAATGGCAGCAAGAACCACAGAAAAATATTTCACATCAAATTAATGCACATTAAGGTTAATAAAGGATGTATGTTGTTATTTGCAGGAGGAAGCATTGTAAACATCCTTTCCAAGTGGGCAAAAGCTTGCTAAAAGACAGAACAGAAATTTAGATTATGGGAATAAATATTGTGGCCAAATGTTGAATGAGCTTGGAGCCCACTAAAGGATTATCATGTCTGTTATCTTTTTAACTTAACATTTTCTTGCTCCCTCATGGCAATAATTTGTCCCTACAGGTCTTTAATGGGCTCATTTATATTGTAATATTAAGAAGACTCAAGCCTGAACCAGGAAACTATATAATCTAATTATAGGCCATCACCACTACATCATCACAACCAGGCGACCTAATTCTGGTCTTAAAATGTGGGTGAACACTTGGTGAAAATTAGTCACTTTGCATCTCTGCAAAGCAGTGGAATTAGGTATATGGCACAAAAAATAACTGTTATATTGCACACTGCCTGTCTCTGCCCGTTATCTCAATGACTGCCATTGAAGCAATAATGGATATTATCTCATGTCTACAGCCTGTGAGCCTTCACATTATGATGGTTGTATGGTTGCAGAGTTTGTTTGTGAAGACCAGAAATCCTGTGCATTGACAATGCATAGGCCTATTTATTAAATTAAGTTTTATTTATCTGCCACAATGGACTTATGCTGACATGAGGCGTCTGTATTTATTGGCCTATTCAAAGTATTCTGTCAGGTCGATGGGTGCTTTCGGAAAAGCTCTGATAATTATATCAGTTAGTCATACTGATGACTTGAATGGTGACGTGAATGCTATTCTACAAATCTCAAAATGGTAATTACAGTAGGCCTAACTCCTTGATGACATAGATATGGTAAACAGGAAGGTTAGCACTTGTTTACAATTCCCAGAGTGCAAAGATTGGGCTAGCTATCAGGCGTTGGTTGGTTTCTTTTTCTTTCTTTCTTTTGTTTGTTAAAACCCTTTTAAACTGCAGTACAGCATTGTAATTGGTGGAAGGAGCTTCAGTTTTTTCATTTTTGGACAGGTCAACAATCTAAATTGTAGCTAACATTGCCCATAGCCACATAAGCTAGCAAACCACACATAAGCTAGCCACATAAGCTAGCAAACTGTGATTGCCATAACATTGCAATCGCTAACATCTTGGTATGATCTTGGAGTTCATTAGTTCACACATGACTGAAATACATGGATCAAATGACAAACATTTAATGTATAAAAATGTCTTTCTTGCTCCATCTTGCTAGATTCACTAGATTCACTCTGAGTCAGCTTGTACACAGTTTGGATACACGTAACTATTACTTTGAATAATGTAGGTGTACCTTTCGTTTTTAGGATATGTAGCCTCAGGAAGTATCTCTGAAGTACTATTTGTTTTATCTTGCTGATGTTGTAGTTTACTTGGATACTAAGGCAGCTTGTTAACTTTTAGTTTTATGGATTGCACCTGTGGTTGAATTTCCCATCACGTCAGAAGAGTAAATTTGGTCACTGTGTTTGTCTTTGGAGTCATTCAATAGGGTCCTTATCTCAAATTGGTTTAATAAATAGAAGTAACAGTGCAACAGGCTATCTATTAAAGGCGTGTTAATCACAGCTGTTATGTGTGGATTTTTCTCAGTGTGCATTGTGTGGGTCGTGTATGAACAGAGCTCAGTCCACAATAAATTTACTGACAATATCAGAGTGAAAATGTACAATGACACAGAGCCACATATGAGAAGAGAAGTTGAATAATAAGTTGACAATAGTTAAATAAAGAAATTTGATGTGATTGGACTGTTAAAATGGGGCATGAGGAGTCAGCAGTGCTGGTGTTAGATTTATGGGACGCTGACACTGATTGCCTCTCCAGTTACAAAAACAAACTCCCACAAACGAAGCTCATCCACTGAATGGGCTGTTTTTTTGACCCACTTGGCTGACTCAAGGGACCACAAATCCTGATTAATGTTGCGTAGTGAATCTTTTCTTGAAAAATTTGTAAGGCCCCGGCCATAAGTCTTTTCATGCTCAGCACTCTGCTCCAATATTGATGGTTGGTTCGCTTTCTAAACTCTTACCTTCAAAAATAAGCACAGAAAATAATTTCCTGAGTATTTATTATAGAGCGACAGGAAAGGAGTGTAATGCCAGTGTCTGTATTAGCTTAATGAACAGCACACAGCTCTTGTGTTGAACTTGAGCTTGAATTAGTTTCTTTCACTTTGGCTGATCTTGCCAGCTTAACTAATCATACCCAACCTGAGTCAGCTTAAGAGAAACATTCACGATTCACTTGCGTCAGCACTTCCTGTATTCAGACCATAAAATACCAGAGGAAAAATTGTTTGATTGTAGACCAATGTCAAACCCCAGCTGCCATTATTTTAATAGTTAATGTATTTGGCTCATCCCATAATCATGGCTGAACTAATGCAGAGAAGATTAGCAGTTCAGTTTCTTCTGAAATGTAGGCTCTTCCCAACTGCTTATAATAGAAAAAAAAAATAGCTTTTTCTCTCTCTTTCCTCATCTGTGCTGTAAGAAACTCAGAGCTATACTAAACCTATTCTCTGTTGGTCACGGTCCTCATATTTCCTTCAGCCCATGAGCTGAACCCAGACACTGAGTCTGAAGTGTTTTAGAGTGTGTGTCAGAATCCTGATTAGGCACCAGAAGTGATATAGAGTTGCATAAATTCTGAGAGGAGCTTCCCTGCAGTCATGCTCGAAGAGTCTGTCAATAATGAATTGGTGTCTGGGAGAAAATAAACCTGCCAGAAGCACATAGAAACCCCCCCATCCCCACGCCCAACCTCCGGAGAGACGCTGTGAGAGGAGGCTTCAGGTTACTTGCACTTATGCCGGCACTAGCCTTTACTGTACCTCATTTTCGATGTCAGGACGCTTAAAAGCATTCAACAGCCAGAAGAGGCTTCAGCACAACAGAAGGGAAAGCATCAGTAATGGGTTGCTGCTGTCTGTGCCTTGGGAAAAAGGCCTGAGGCAGATCATGTAGAATTAAAAGCAAAGCGTTATGTTATGATGTTATGTAACAGCACCGTGAAAATACTAGTGCAGTGACCTGTTGTGACCTCAAGAGTGTTGTATTTTGACAAACTTAATAGCATCTTATTGACTTGAGGAGAGATTCTGAATTAATACAATACCAGGCGGTTAAATTATATTTTTTTTCATTATTATTATTATTATTATATAACAAAACCATTTTTTGCCTCTATTGACACAACTATATCAGGCAGATATCACTTAGCATGCGAGGTCCTCGTAACTTTGACCACAATGGCTATTTTCAGCTAGTGAAGGGATATGTCACCCAGTGCAGCCCTGTATGTTTGCTGTTTTTCATTGTCTTTAGCCATGTTAGCAGTGTTGGTCTGCCTATTGGTTTTGTCCAGGCTTTAATTTCTCAACAACTGTTGGTAGCAAGAGGATGAATCTGAATGATCTTGGTGATCTCCTGATTTTTCATCAAGTACCGGTGTACTTTGGTTTATGACCAAATACCTGCAAAACCTTATTATTATTTTTGGTGTTTTTAAAGGATTTGATGCTGACACTGAAAAGATCTTTTTGAGGGAACACAAGCACCTACCTGTTGTTGACCCTGAAACACATCTTTTCAAATGAACTTTGCCATAGATAATTATCAGCGTGTCTCCAAGCAGCATACCTTGGTTGGAGCTGTTGGAGGGGAAGCGGTCCGATTTCTTGAGGGTGCGAAAATGGACCTTCTTGCTGGCTTGGCTTTCCCCGTAGAGGCCAATTGACTGAACCTGGATGATGTAGTCTGTCTCCTCCTCCAGGTCCCAAAGAACACAAGAGCGGCTGGTGGTGTTGACCTCCCGAATGAATCGCTGCATGTGTCCGTCCTGCCTCTGGGTATTGGAAGGGCGGTAGAAAACAACAGAATGGACTGATCTATTGAGTAGACAAAATTATCAATACAGTGGCTGACGAGGTGATCAAGGTGACCAAACACAAATGTGTCCCGCTCTCTTCTGTAAAAAGTCATGTGGCATCACTTTGAGTTTCATCTTTACAGGGCAATGCTGTATCAATGATGTATCACGCTCAGACGTCAAAAACACTCAAAACAATCACTGTATATGGGGCATGACGATGTGAGGCAGAGGTGACCAACCAGAAAATATTCAAAGTGCTGGAGAGAGACATGCTGAGTACTTTATTATATTAACAGTTGGCACTTTATTTTCGCCATATGGAGTCTTGACTGGAAATGGAAAAGCTGTGGAGTCAATATTCTGATTAATTTGGACTCCAAGTACTTCCAGACACAAGCTCTCAGAGTTTGTCTTTGACCTTTCAGAATGTTATTGGAGCAGTCGAGACCCAGAGCTGTGTGAAAATGATTCCTCCTGCTCGCATGCACTGCTCTGTTTCTTAGTGTGCTCTCTAGCCCATCTGCACTTGAAATGGCTTTGGGCCAGGTGTTTTTTTATGTGTTTTTTATGGCCCTGCTTTACTGAGGGATCTGATGAAAAAAAAAAAAGAAAAGAAAAAGAAAAAAAAGCTTGTTAGTCACAGCAAACAATGAAAAATGTAGTGATTAAGAAGCCATATACACTCACTGCAATTACCGAACCTGTTCAAATTCAGCTGCGTAACATGATGAACAGCCCTGAGGAGAAACGTTTGCATGTTGTATACAGCCCATCACTCGCGCTGACTCAATGGCAAAAGTTAAATGGCTGCATAATGTTTTGAGTTGCATAAAGCATAAACACGATTACAGCAGCATATGGCATTCCATCATTCAGTGTTAGCATTCAGTGGTTTTCCTATTTTAAGCCTTTGAAATCTTTTCATCTTGGAAAATGCAGTTTGGCAGCCTCACATACTTATATGCATTCATGCTGCATCCTTGTTTTCTCTTGACAAATCGACCATGCCAAGTTTTATTCTAACTCCAGACTTGAAGGCAAGATTTAGTCAGCTTTTCTCCATGCTGAGCAAAGCTTTTAGGAGTTCCTAAGAATATGCATCCAAATGAAAATAAACACATCTTATTACTTGTGCATGTGTGCTACTACTTACTCAGTATGCTGGACCAAGTCACAATTCAAACTGAGAAGTATTTTCTGAGCACACAATTTTTTTGTTTATATAGAGATTGAATTATTGTTTCATCTTCAAGAAAATTTTTTTTCAGTTTCCTATACGCTTTTTATCCCAATGTATTCCAGAGGGTATCAAGAAATGTTACACAGTAGAAAACTGATTCCAGGTGCTGTTCTTCTTCGTACCCACTGCCTGTGTGGCGTGCCAACATAACTTCAACAGGACACGATGAAGGCTCAGTGCCAAACCACAAATGGCTATAGCTAAAAATAAAGCTGGTGCCATATTCTTTTTTTTTTTTGTACTTGTTCTGTCGAATTTTCCATGGTCTCTCTGATTGACATCACAAGTTTAGGACTTGCCTGTTGTGAGATAGAGAAGCCAATTATTATGTCTCCCTCTGGAACCTCCCAGGATACAGTTGCCGAGTCGGCCCGCAGGTGCATGACAGACACATTGACAGGAGCTGGTGGCCGGTCTAGAGGAAAGGAAACAGAAACAGAGAGGTCTGTTAATCCACCCGCTAGATATCCAATTATCCATGCCATCTGTGCCCGAAGCGCACCTGGAAAGACTCGAGCATTACGTTGGCACTAACTCACCACAGGTGTTTGTATCAAGAGGGAACAGCTGATTCTAACTATTTGTAATGTCAAAGTACATTTGGTAAGGGTTGTGGAAAAATACTGAAAACATCTGTATCCCCCCTAATCCAAGTTGAGTCAACATGGTATGGTGTCTAAAAAAGGCTTAGAAATAGTGAGCAGCAGCCCTACGATAGACTTCTATGACATTGTATATTGTCATAGCCGCTGAGTATTGTGGAGTTTTTTTCTTGCGGGACGACTCAAGCCTCAAGAAGTGATCCAGACTCAAAGTGTAATTTTTAAAGGCTAGCTGTGTTCTGTAGTTTTGTAGCATTAGCACAAAGCGGATGTTGGATTTGTTTTGAGAGGAGCTGCAATGAACGTTTCAGTAGATTCATCAGTCAAACACTTTTCTCAATCGTCCATTAATTATTTATTCTATAGAATATAAAAAAATGGCAAAATGCCTTTCAATTTCCAAGGGCCCAAGATAACATCTTTAATTAGCTTATTTTGTCTGACCAGAACAGATCAAAACCCAAAGATATTCAATATATTATCACATATCACAAAGGAAAGCAGCAAGTCCTGGCAATTGAAAAGCTGGGACCAGTTAATGTTGGATATTTGTGATTAAAAAAAAGTTTTGCCAAACTCAATACTGCTCACTCTTAAACAAACAGGGAGAATATACTTAACTCACTTGCTTGCATTTCATTATGACCCTACAGAATTAGTAAAAAAAAATCACAGGTATGCGTCACTTTTTTTTCACAATTTTCCTTCAAACCACCTCCTCCGTCACCCTGACAGACCGGCCTTTTTAAAGTAACCACTGTGTCCATTTCATGTCCACCCCCCTCGGATGGGGTTACATCTCTTCGCACTGTTATTTTGCAGCCATCTATCATGATTTGGTTGCTGGTGGAGGCGCTGATTGCCAAGTGGGGACAAAAGCCTGGGAAGCAAAAGGCAGGAGAAACAGAGGGTGACAGATCTAATAGAGGGGCCTGTACGGCTTTACACTCTCCAAGCAATCGCCTGGGTCAGATGGATAGGTGAGATGGGATTGGCCGGGCAGATGGGGACCTGGAGGCCCTCCACAGGGCTTTTGTTGTTAATGTAGGTCTAATGGACTTTGTGTGTTGTCACAGAAGGTAACTGATGCAACATGGAGAGGGTCAAGTGAGTGGAAATATCCCGTGCTGTCAGATATGTGAAAAATCATGACAAAAGCAGACAATACACACAGCATGAAAGTACAGTATACAGAGGAACTGTGGTTGTAACCACAGCTGCTCTTTACCTACTAGTAAGTAAGATTTTTAGTTACAGCTTTTTGCGGTTTACCTCAAAGCCAGTGTTAATTGACGTTTGTACGGTCAATTTGTATTTCAAACACTTTTATTAACTCATGGGGCATGGATGTAATAACCCATAATACAGTTGTCTTGAGACGGCAGCCAAAGGCATGTGCTGCACAAGGACAATATTTCATTGCAAAAGTGCACTTGAGAGAGAAAGATGAAAGACAAAATGATGAAATTGGGAGCCATTTCAAATGATTTGCCGTTCCCGAGCTCAGTCCCTCTCACATCCCTCTCCTCTTATCTCACCGTGTCTCCCCTTTTATCTCTCTCTCTCTCTCTCTCTCTCTCTCTCTCTCTCTCTCTCTCTCTCTCTCTCTCTCTCTCTCTCTCTCTCTCTCTCTCTCTCTCTCTCTCTCTCTCTCTCTCTCTCTCTCTCTCTCTCTCTCTCTCTCTCTCTCTCTCTCTCTCTCTCTCTCTCTCTCTCTCTCTCTCTTTCTCTGTCTCTCTCTCTCTCTCTATCTCTTTCTCTCTCTCTCTTTCACGTCTTGCACTTCTGTCTGTTTTTATCTCAGAGACAATCAATGATGGCCTCGGTGTTCGGCACAAAAAGGTGACATTGAGGCAGATCTCGAGACCCTCGGGTCAGACGGGGGCTATCAGTCTCCCTGTCTCGAGTCCTCGTGGCACTATGAGCCACAGGTCAAACAGAGGCATGACGCTTGGTTCCTCAGGCTCATGACACGCTCGGAGATTGGTTTGTGTAGGGGGAGCGAACAAGCTGAACACGAGGCCAGACTAATGCTGAGCTTGAGAGGAAATGAATGTTCCAACTGTAGAGAGAGCGGAGGAGAAAAACGGGGCTCGGCTGCTGGTAGCACTGGTATCAAGAGGTGAAGAGGTGACGTGTGTCTCATTTGGTCCATTTAATGAGAAGCTCCTTTATGGAAGCAGGTGCTGTAATGTGTTAAGATAGAAGTACCATAGGTTAAGAAGGAGGGTGAGTCACATATAGCATAAATTGTCTTTGATCTTTGGAGAGCTATGGGGGGGGGTGAGTCATACATATATTTACAATAATGGTTCCCACGTCCTTGTGCCTTGGCAGGGTCTAAGCGACTGCTAATTTTGTGTCAAGAACATTTGATGATCACGCTAATGATCCCATAATCTATAAATGAAACTTACATCACTCACACTTCAAATGCATACCTAACAAATGGCTGCTCAGATGCCGCACATGGTTTTGACATGCCAGAATTGAATTTGTTTCATTAGACCTCAGCTTTGCATTTATAAAACCTGCAGAGAAACTTTGATTCTTGCAGCCGCATCATCCCAAACACATACTCAACAAGAAAAAACAAAGAAAAAAACAATAATTTGTTTTGTAAGGATAAATCTGATTCTTTGGTTAACAAGCAAACGCTATCAAGCCTTGATCGCCGCCAGCTTTTTGTCCTGCGGTGCACGCTCATCACGTTCCCGTGCAACATTTATCTGAGACAGGTCACATTCGTTTCTCTTAAAGCTCGTTGTCCTTTAGGTAATGGGGGTTATAGACAGCCCCGCATGGGCCAAAAAGCAGCCAGTAACCATGATGCATTGTCTGCGAGTCATTTACCGGTGATTGAGCAAGTGACGGTTCAGTTGAAGCGGGCCATGAATCATCACTAATGTATAAGTGCCCTCTTCCTACAGTATATGATGTTTCCATCGCCAGCGGTTGAGAAGGGCAACTATATTTTCACCGGTCTTGGTGAGGTGACCTTATAAGATGACATGAAGCCGGCCAAACTAAAGCTGATGTGTTTTTCATCCATTTGCTGTTTTAGAAGCTTATGATAAATAAGAAAGAACTGTCTTGATGTTTCCAAAATATAATCACTGTTGACTCAAGAGCAGACAACAGATTTCAACTGTAGCTCAGTGACTTTCTAATGCAAATATTTTTATTTGATGTGACGTTCAACTGTCCAATCCTCTTCCCATTGTTTCCCCTCTAAGCTTGTTTGATGTCCCCTTCTGTAATAATAAGTGCCATTTGTGATCACTTCAATATTTGTTATTGGCCACATGTCCTGAGTATAAGCCCCACTCCATAGAATGCATTATGTAAGATCTGAAATCAAACAGCAATAGGTCACAGCGGCCGAGGAGTGTGTCAGTGCAAACAAATGGTATGACCCTCTTGGGATGTGGGTGCACTGCCAGGATGAATCATAGCATATAGCCAAGGCCCAGCACATTAGCTGCTCCCCATCTGCGCAGAGTGCACACAGAGAGATAGTGAACGTGCTGCTGGGATCTCTGAATGGCTGACAAGCCACGTGGAAAGGAGCCCAGTTTGAATTTGTTACGGTGAGGTACAGCGGTGGTATCTTATATTTTGACCTCTATATTTGCTGGTGTCGCACAATTCCTAATTTACACACAGGGTTATTGTTTGGTTCACAGCATAAGATTGGAGATTGGTTGGAAATATTCTTTACGGTCAAACTATAAATTTTTAGATTTGCCTGAGCAGCTTTTAATCGCAGACCACCTTGGATAGCCATGACACGCTGAGTAAGTAAACAGAGGCAGAAAAATGAGACGTGAGAAGAAAATTGGAGATTACATCACCTGTCACATTCACCAGGGACACACTTTGACAGGTGACGTGTCATCTCCATTTTACTGTTTCCAGGAGCCAACGTCTGTGTTTAATCTGATTCTGCCCCGAGAAAAGAATTAAGGTGGAAATTTGTAGTCAGTGAGAAATGTAATATAGCTGCCTTTCTGTGTTTGCTTCTTGCACCTGGGTTATTGAATGATCGCAGTCATGAGAAAATAAAATTGTCACCTCCAATTTAAGTCACCGTCATAGGAAAGTGTAGCGAGTGTGAAAGCAGAGGCAGTGGGCTATTCTAATTGGTTGGTGGCAGAAATCCTTTGTAGATTAATGTGCGATTGATAAATTTCATATGTAGCGGTGTGTTGACATTTTATACAGCCATTTAATCCATTTCTGCTCGATGCTCTCTTTTGGGAAAACAACATAAAAACATTTAGGAGATAATTATAACCTGGTGTTTTAAAAGCTCAGCTGCTCATTTACAGTTTGAAATGTGATAAATGGATATTTTACGCTCTGTAAATGTTCCACACAAAGACGAGAAGCTGCTACCGCTTGATTTTACAAGCATCAAGTCTGACATGAACGAGAGCTCAACTCATTATTTAGTGGACATAAACGCCTCAAATGATTGATCAGTTCACTAAGGACACAATACAACTCCCAGAGGTGCATAAATCCTATTGCTTTAAACACATTTAAAAGGCAGAACACTGCGGTTTACCAAGGTGATGGTCTCTACACTCCTGTATTATCAATCATATTTCAGTCTCAGTTAGCTCCAAGCCGGCGACAGTTTTACAGGGCTGCATGTAATGTGATATTTCTCTAATACTAATAAAGCCTTGTGAAACGATAATGTTCACTGACATCTTCTAAATAAAGGCACTAACTCATAACAGGTGCTGTGAATTTTGATGTGTTTGCCCAGTCAATCTTCAAACGGCTTCATCTGCATGTGTTTCAGACTCCGTGGAGGGAAGTCTAAATGTTCTCCTCCGCACAGCAGGGGGTTGTCACACAGCTGCTCGCAGGTGTTGCAAATCACCTGCTAGTGGGGCTCTTAAGCAGTGTCGTGCTGGGTTTTTTTTTTTTTAATCTCACCCGCAGCACTATCTGCCCCCATATTACCTCTGAAGACCTTTTTTCTTTTGTTTCATCTCTGAGTCCATTCCCTGATCCCGCTTCTCTTTAACATGTCAAAATATACCACGTTTCCTAAACCTTGTACTCCAATACATTAGCATCTGTCTAATGCAGTAACAGCAGTATGAAGTACCTTTGTGGAATATAAGATGGAGAGATTTGTCCAGCCAGGTGTGGCTAAGTCCTTTTTCCTGTACATTTCAGAGCCTCTTTTCAGGAGTGCCACTTACTGCCCCCTGCTTTAGGTACACTCTGTCTTCCTCACAGACCCAGAGGCTGTGAGGCAGCAGTGGAACCAGATGGGACCAGGTGCCAGTCTAAGGTTAATGTAATCACTGGCCAAACCCTGAGGCTTTTCAGCTGCAAGCTAACATTACTTCATCATCCCGAAATTGTAAAGGCTAGCAAGCAGCGACACGCAGGAGCGGATTTGTTTACATTCAGGTATCAGGAGTTTGTGGCATTCAATTTATCGGCTGCAGTGGGTTCTGCCAACGAGCGTGATCTAGAGTGTGGCACTCATAACACCAATATGAAAGCTAGGGCTGAATGAAATCCAGTTATTTTTCACACATTGTAGTCTATTTTATTTCTGTGTATTTGTAAAAATGTCTGCCGTGTGACAGCAGGTGAAACAGGAGCAAACATTGGCTCCAACACCGAACATCTATTTGCCAAGAATGTGTCACCAGAATTATGAACAGCAGATTGCCAATTTGACGAATGATATGAGCCAGGCCATCCAAATAAATCCAATAACTTCTAATTTGCATTTGTTCAGTGTCTGAAGCTCCAGTTCGGCCTCATGTGGGATTCATTTTCTCGCATGCTTGTTTTCAGACCGTGGAAATGTAAATACGGTTACTCACATTCAAGTATTTCTTGTCAGATTGGAGCTAGAAAATGAGGAAACTCAAACATCTTGTGTGGGTTTGCGCCATTCGTCTCAGTCTTGGTTTAGTCTGGCATTTTGCTCAATGACATTCAAACATCCGAAGCTCAATGTTAATTTAACACGTGAACATCTGCTCCAAATGTTAGTTAATGCCGGTTTGATTTTTATGAATATGAATTCATCAATCCAAATTTAAAGACCTGTGCCATGTAGTTTTTTTTTTTTTTTTTTTTTTTAATCATGACTCATGCTGAAAAGCGGGGCTTAATGGATGAGTGAGAACAAATTTCAGTAGGTGAGGTGAAACAAAAATTGACTTTATTATATGCTACTTTCACCATCATTACATAATTTTGGGCGGCTTTTAAATCATTTAATTAAATTTCAGAAGTGGTGTTACCTAAGAGAGACTTTAGGGAAATTGTGCTGCTTCTTGCTTCGTTCTACTTGACGTTTTTATGGACAAACCTCATCATGACCCAAAGAGACTTACAATTAATTTAGACCTGACTGACACGTCACTGTGAATCCCACAGTCTCATTGCAGGCATAGGGACTGACAATAATGAATTCCTCATTTATTTTCATTTACTTTGAAGCTCATTGCACCAGCCACATTTATATGTATATTTATGAGTGCCATGCTTATTATTTTAATAGTAGCTTTTCCTGCTCTTGACAACAATCCCAATGCAGAACTCCACTGAGATCACAGATGCTCCTTGAGTCTCACATGTCAGTGCCGAACATGACAAAAGCTCTGAATCTTTCTCTCAGACAGACAGCACATGACACCCACAGAAACAGTGAAGTGCCAATCTGATTCTCTCAAGGCGCTATCACATGTAGGACTCAGTTCCCTTGAGAGAAAGGGGGAGGAAGTAATCAAGGTAGACAGTTAGATAAAGAGACAGAGATACTGTAGATGCATGCGTACAGAGGCAGTAAGAGAAGATTTCTGTGGCAGGAATAAACACTAAAGTCTGAAACCAAGCTTGCAATTATAAGCACTCAAACATAAAAATACTGTGTGTATACACACTGTTGTAAATGAGGCCATACAGCTCAAGCACAGGTGATCATTTTTACATGTTGGCTCTTCAACTGGTGTTTCTGTGACACACTCATTTAGAAAGTGAATGACTCTTTATATTTTTTGGCCTGCATGTAGAGCTTTGTTCACTATTTCTATGATCTAAATATTAGATGGTCTTTCTCTTTCTTTAGTCAAACAAGACTGAGGGAAAAGTAGCTTCCAAGTGAGCAGACGCAATGGGACAAGGTTGAATATGGCTGTGGTGCAGATTCTGTCTATATAGGAAATTATTGCCAGGTTTTATTGCTGTAAACCTGCTAAAATGTTTTTTTTATTAGATGCACAACTAGGGCAAACTGCCAACGTTATTTGTGGGCTTATTAAATTCAAATATACAGAAATGATATTTCAAAATAGACACTGTGACTTGTTTTTGTAAATGGTTAAAAGAAAGTAAAGAAATGTCTGAATAATGATGATGTAAATCTGGTTGAACAGGTGTTACTGGCTGAGCTGCGTATTAGGATCAAAATATAGCTACATTATAAATAAGTAAAGCTGAGCATTAAAAACTATTTTAGGTCTTGTTTTATGTGTATGAATGAATTACTAACAAACACACTGACTTATCCACGTTTATAATAATGGCGCATTATACAAGGCTCCAAAGTGCACAATAATGAATTTGACTTATACTCACTCGCTCCTACCAAGAACATGTCGCTGCCAAAAAGCAACAGGACCACGGAGTTGACCAAAACAAGCAGGCGAGCCATGTCTCAGTGGATATCGTTGCTCTTCTTGGGTTAAAAACGCAGGTCTCCTATGCTTGAAGGACAACTAAATGACTGTAGTTCATTTTTATATCATGTTGGAAATTCCTTTGATGGATGACTGAACGGTCACTGGCTGAATCGGGGCCCGAGCTGGTCAGTTCAATACACAGATGACCGGCGAAAGTGTGGAACAAATGATGTCTTCACAAACATTTTGTCAAGCCCAGACGGATTCTTCATTTAAGGTTTAAATCCACAAGTCCTTCATCCATGTCCTCACGCAGACTGAGAGATGTCCGACCACATCTGGTAGACTTCCGTCATCCTCATGGACCGTGGATCGTCGGTGAGCACAGGTATGACCAGGTTCGGTGGAAAAAAAAAGATGACGCTCACGGGGTCGTCTGTCCCCCCACAGACTGAGGGGACGCCGCCGGGCAGCGATTCAGCACCATGGACAGCGCCTTAAGTTTCTCCGCCTGCCCTCTGTCTCGCTCTGCAGCTCGCTGCTTTCCGGCTCAGACCTGAATGTGTTTACTGGTCACCCTGCAGTCCTCTCCCGGTCCCGGTAGCCTGTGAGACCCTCAGGTTTCTGCTCAAGTGCACGCGCAGCATGGCACGATTAATCATCCACGTGTCATCAGAGGAGAGCAGCTACACCGCCTACCTGGGCTGCAGCCACCACTCACACTGGAGCATGCATCTCCGACTGCTTTAATATTTCAGTAGGAAAAAAAAAGGCAGGAGCCAATATTTACCGCAATAGGGTGAGGAGTGTTGTTACGAGGTTGTTTGGCATGTGCGGGAAGCAACAGGGAGTGAATGCATTTTGTTGTGCTCAATGACAGAGGGATTTGAGAGCGAGAGATCGTTAGCGATGACTGTTAAACATTGTAGTACACTTCTGTTGCCCTACTTCATTCACTAAACTGCCGATGATAAATACTGTGTAATAAGCATACACTGCAGCAGCGCCCTAAGGCACACTAGGTGTTATCAGGAGGATGAATCATGTTGATAAGCTGAGTGCATTGCCTCATGGGACGAACCTTTCACGTCAGATTGCTTGTCTATAGGGAATCTGCCAGCACATGCAGCCTACTGCAGTCTCTATTCTGACACAGTGAAGAAGTCATCAAAGTGTGTGTGTGTGTGTGTGTGTGTGTGTGTGTGTGTGTGTGTGTGTGTGTGTGTGTGTGTGTGTGTGTGTGTGTGTGTGTGTGTGTTCTGCTCATGAATCAGAGTATTAACTGGATATGTGAACCGGATCTTACAAATATGATTTAATAACTAGAATAAAAAGGGGTGTGTGTTGCTTTGTGTGTGTTTGGTTTCATAGCTGTGCCAACTAAATTAACAACTCAAAACCTTTTTAGTGGCCAGGAAAAGATTGTTTTCCCCTCTCTGAGGTGTTGCCATGGTTTCTAGTTCTCACCAGTCCTCTTTGAGCCAGAGCACACAGAAAAAAAGAAAAGAAAGGAAAAAAAAAAAAGCTAAATAAGTCAGATATTAGATATTGGAGTTACCATGACAGCTGCCTATTTGTAGCTGACATTTCTGTGGCATTTATCACAATAAAAGCTTTTCCTCAACAAAGACACTGAAATGGTGTTATTGTGGCCAGCAGTCAATGTTTTTTTCCTAAATGTGAGTTAAAGTTCAGTTGTTTTTCCAAACTTGACTTCCTTCCAGTTGTTTATTGAGCTCAACTGTAATCGAGAATCAGCTGCATTCTTTTTTAATGTAAATGTCATTTTACAGTTTCAAAGTTTTCAATCCAGAGTTACATGATAGCTTGTTTCACTGCAAAATAACCTGTTGGTCAAATCAAGGCTAATCATGATACTGCCTCAGTGTGAGACTCAAAATCAGGATGAAGTCATTTGCTAACAAAGTGCTTAATTTTAACCACACTCTAGAATTGTGATGATTTTACAGAGAGGAGAGAGAGTTGTTGGCTTGCACCGCTGCTACGCCTCTCCGTAGGATGCTGGGGATTTATATTCCTCACCCCTAAAAAGAAAAATCTCCTCGCAGGCTCTTTTCAGTCCTGTGAGATGTTAACCATCCCACATTAAACTGAAATACCACAGAGTGATGTAGCACTAGTCCTATAATCTTCAGCAGTAACGTGAGCCAGAACCGACTTGGCTGCATTATATTCATAAATTACACTAATCATTGGTACTTAAGTGTTTCCAACAATGACAGAGATACAAGCCTGTCATGAGAGCCAGTTGCTGACTTGTTGGAAAACAACATGACTGATTTAGGACGGAATCAGTACTACAGTATCAGTTACAGCAGACCTTTCCACAGACCTTTCCTCAGACCTATCCTTTTTTTCATATGGACGTACACACTGAGGATCAACAAGAGAAATATGCTTTATATACGTTTTCTGCATCAAAATAAATCTTTTAGTCAAGTCATAACTGTCTCTGCAGTTAAATCTGGGTCAGTCCATCTTAATCAAAACCAAAACTAAAGGTGGCAGTCAAATGCAAGAGCTGCTGTAGCTTGTGGAGGTAAAAGTTTAAACAGGGTTTAAGAGTGGATTACCTCATATTATTTAAGGTTTTCAAAAAGTCATTGATATGAGGGTAAAAAAAACAACAAAACATTTCACAATTGATCAAAGTGGTAGAGACTTTCGAAATGATTTATGGCAGCATTGAAAAGAGAATGACTAAGTGCGTGTCAGAAAGGTAACAAAAAAAATACTCTAGAAAATGTGCTGTAATGAATTAAATGAACGGCTCACAATGGAACAGAAATGAACCATACAAGCTGCACTCAGACTTATGGGTCTTTAATTTTGCATAGCAGCACTCAACATGCTCTGCACATCAACCTTGCTTTGTTCTAATTTACTACTGAGTTGTTTACTCTTAACATAATTGCTGGACTGCACCACTAGCCGCTGTTGCTCAGCTCAGAGTTTCGTCATAATGGATGGATCAACGTGGGAGCAGACTGTCAGTGAAATATTGTGACTCTATTTAATTTTAAAACCTGAGAAATTACAAACTCTGTGTCCACAGGCAAAAGAACTGAAGCGACTGCAGAGTTGGTGTGTTGTCTCAAAGGTTGTACCAAAGGTTACGCTTGCTCACTTTTTCTCTAAACTGATGAAACCTCTTTCCATTCAGAGTCTGATGTCAACTTCCTGTGTTTAGAAGAAAGTTTCTACAGATTACAGTTGCCAGCAGCAGTTCATTGTACTCTCCTCTGTCACTGTCATGTACCTTGAAGGTACATATGGTTAGATTTTCTCATGGTGTCAAAGTCACCTCAGTATTAAAATAGACAGTGACTGTACTGTGTGGGTGTAGAATGGCTGCATGTGATTTAAAAAAAAAAAAAAAAAGGAAAAAAAATCAGACAGGGTAGTTCATTAAATCCTTGAACATTTTCTGTATTTTCTCTTAGACAGTAGTTCCCAAATCTTTGTCTGACCTCACAGCTCTATCCAGTGAACTCAGGTAACCCTTCAATCACACCACCCGTCATCTTCTGGATGTGTTCATTTGAATTTATTTTGAATTTGATATAATTTACCAATATTAATCGTGTGATATTTGTTCTGTTTTTTTCACAGAAGACATATTGATCTTGGAATTACATGTTGAGGCTTCTTCTTTTTACTTGTGTTGGAATCACTGTTCCACAATACTAGAGAGAGAGAGAGACAGAGAGAGAGAGAGAGGAAAACCATCAAACTTGTAAAAAAATAAAAATCCAGGTACCCTTCTGCCTTTAGCAGGGAACAATTGCAACACACACAGACACACAGCTTGTTAGTGCACACACAAAAACAAAAAATACAAAAAAAAAAGGATCACTTCATGTTATTGTCAGACACCCTGAGAGAGGAACAAGTGTAATGAAAGTTACAAAAGTCTCTCCTGGCTGCTGGAAAATTGGTGGTAAAATCAATAGGATCTGTTCCTCATTGTCACACTCTGACAGAAGCAAAGGATATCACACACCTGTACCTCCCACTGTTGTACTTTAAACAATGTGTCACCTTCACTGGACTGTTGGATTAATATCAAACGCTAACACGGGTATAGTTTTACGCAGGTGGTGTCTTAAAGGGCCCGTTTTTAATGAATAAATTAGGCAAGGGAAGGTAATGGAAGACCTTTAAAAAAGACAGAGGGTCACCTTAAAACCTCAATCATCATTTCATTTTAAAACTTTTCATCAATATCCAGAAAAGACAGGGTGAAAATGACCAAAAATAACTCCACCTGGCATGAGAAAAGACTCAAACTGTTAATTGCTTGGTATTCAGTGTCCAGTAAAAGAATTTTATAAGTAATGAGAAGGCAGAAAGATGGCAGTATTTAATAAGTGATGGCAGACATGGACTGTTTATAGTTCATTTGGTCCATCCTCCTGATGGCTCCCAAGTACTTAAAGTGGAAACATTATGTCGGATGACACTTTCCAAAGTCCAAAGACTCTTTTGGCTTGGATATAAAGCAGATACTTAAAGCATTAGTCACAATTTAGAAAAATGTCATGATGGGATAAAAGCATTGTGTATATCTCTATCTCTATACATTAAAAGATGTGTAAATGGAAAAGTCATCATTCTGTTAATTATATTGAAAAGTTGCTTGAATATTGTATACATTCTTGTTTCCATGTATGATTTGCTCTAGATTTCAAGTTGACAAAAGACCTCACCTCCACTGTCACATCGTGCTCTTCTTGATTTTTGAATGTAAAAACAGGGAGCGAGAAAGACCACAGCTCAAGGTCAAAGTCACATATTTGAATATTTACGTTGACATTTAGAACATAAACCACGAGGAGAAGGGAGATGGTGACAGCAGGGATCTTCACATGGGCAGGAGCATAGCGCTGCATACTGATCAGGGATGATGAGCTGTCTTGTTGGGGAGCTAACAAAAGACTCACATGTCTGTGACACAAGATATCAGCTGTTGAAATGTGTGAAATGCAGCTGTAATGTAGATGAGTAGTTTTACTGTCCGGTGAAAGGTTTATGTGAGGGTGTGGAGTTCATTTAGCTGAGAGATACATCTTCCCGCTCATGCTAGGATTCATTAATTAGTCTGGTTCTTCATAAGTGACTGTTCTCTTGAAAACTAATCCGATCATTTCATCTTACCAGTGGAGACAGAAAGTCTAAGAGAACATTGAACGGTCACATTTCAGCCCACATTGCGTAGGCCAGCAGTATCCTTCAGTACTTTTTTTACTGCACCAGCGCACATATAATTAAATTTCCCTGTAGTTACCGGTGCCCTTGACTCATCATTGAGCACAACCATGGTGGTCAATTACCAGATATAGTTGGAGGGTGTGCTGGGCTTCTTGCTACCTCATGGCTTTAGGGCTTCCTTACACTAAATGAATTGATATAGACTCATATATCAAGAGAAAATATCAATCTAGCAGATGGTTTCCTAGTTCCTTCCCAATCAGCCTAAGGAAAGGAAGCAGGCCTCCATAAATTTTCTGTGCAGATTTCTTTTGTATTGGCTTCATCAAAGAAAATATCATTAGCACAAAAGGCCTCTCCATAAGACCTCCGTTTGGCTCAAAAGAAGAGAATATACTCAGCGTACTGTATGCCTCCATCATTTTCTGCTGTTTTGTGTTTAGCATTAAGTGCTCAGCAACTAACAATAACAACAGAGAGCGCTCTAAATGATCAGGTCATGATAACACACAGCAGAGGCCTTTTGAAGGACGCTGATGTCAGCAGTAACATCTACGTGTGCTGCACGGTTTCGCTGTGTGTGACACTAATCTCACTTGCTGAGACACACTGAAGAAGCTTTACATTCTGCAGTATCTTATCCAAAGGGTAAATAGGATATTTAAAGAATATGACACATGCTGGCCTGATCTCCACTGCTTCAATCAATTTTCAGCAGAACTCAGGGGACCAGCAGCCGTTATCATTACATATTGATTTCCAGGCGGAGTTCATGTACAGTGCAGAAGTCCGGTCCAGTGACTCCTGTATTATGGGAATAATTATAATGGAGCACTGACAGCATACTTCTTACATAATAAATAAGCTACCTGTGTTTTTTGTTTTGTTTTTGTGTGTCAGGGGTGGAGCAGTTTGTCAAAATCTATTTGAGTTAAAAAAAAAAAAAAATCAAACCAGTGAAGCTGCTGAGTTTACAACCAAAACAAAGAGCTGAAAGACGCTAAAAGACTTTGTAGAGCTGAGGGGAACTGCAAAACTGGCGGATGATTCTCTGTGGGTTTGGTGCAACAGCTTTCACAATAGGTGCAGTTATTTGATGTGTTAGGGATATAAAACTATTAATGCAACTTCAAAAATATAATACATGATTTTATTTGCACATTAATAAACATCCTCACTATTGATTGATAATGACTAAATAAATCCTCTGAATTAAAGTACTGTATATTGTAAACGGCTTCAGGGTAATATTTTTGATATTTCAGTGACTTTTACCTTCTAGATCCTTCTAGACGCAAAAAAAGAGCTTGTCTGCAGCAAGGAGCCATTAACAGAGTTATCTTCATGTTTATACCCTGAACCTTGACTCTGGCTTCCTGTAAGATCTTGTGTTGACTGGCAGACCTACGCTGTTTGTTTGTAATAGAGAAAAATAGTTTTGAATCGCACAGAAAAAAATAGTCTGGACTAATGTGTGTGTGTTTCAAGAGAAATTCAAATAAAGCTTTACATTAGGGGATAAAGAGCCCATAAAACAAGGTATTGTTGTGAATGAGAGAGTGATAAGCCTTGCTCCCTTTTCGTTCATGGCCTAAGTCAGAGAACAGATTAATGGGTTGTATATATGAGATCATTTCAGGTGAAATGAAATTCATGAATCATGTGACAGTTTACAAGCCCTGTAGTTTCCCACCCTTCTCCTTGCTTATCTGCTTTACAGCTGCTCATTTTGCTGAATGTTTTGTAGCCATCTTCTGTCCCTGTTTCATCAGCACTCACATCTATTGGACCAAACACTCTTGATTGATGGACTCCATTAATTTAAAGACATCAAAGCCCAGGAGAGAAAACATGTTTATGAGGAGCATAATGCCAACTGAACACCATTGAAAACGGCAACATTATTGTGAGATGAAAGCACATCTCTTTTCATCAGCGGCGATGTGCTCGTTTTTATCCCCGAGGACGGCGTGGGGTTATCCTCACATGATGCTAATGATGTGTTGCCTTCTGCAGGGATCAGTCATCAATCTGTGTGTGAGCCACCGTTTCCCGTCATTATTCCTGGAAGGCAGCAGTGATGAACCGAAGGAGGGGGAGAGGGGTGACGAGGCCTCCCAACCTCTACCCCACATGTCTTGTCATCTTGTGTTAACATCATGCCTCATTTCAAGGTGAGCTGCTTATCAATCATACTACAGTGTGAGACTTATTAATGGCAGTCCCTTCAGACTGATGTTATTATGGTCTGTGCCTGTGGGGTATAGATTTGAAAACGCTGATCAAATATTAGCTGCGTCGCCTTAATTTAACGTCTACGGTTTCTTGCACTGAACTAAGGAATGAAAAAAATTCAGCATCAACAGATGGATTCTTGGGATATTTGATAGATAATCCACCTCTGATCCTGTTACATTTGGATATGCTGTCATAGGTTAACAGCAGAATTAGCCAAGAAAAAGGCATAAATTAATAAAGGTGGGACAAAAAAACAAAAAAAACTTAAAGCTGGCAGGGCAATTCAACTTCTCTACAGTAAGAATGAAGATTTTATATTATAATAATTATTTCTTTTGAACCTCGCAGCTTAACTGAATTTGAAAAAGATCATCTGCCCTTCTTATATGTCTTGCCCCCCCCCCCAACCCCCCCCCAAAAAAAAAAAAAAAATGCAGAGAAACCAGACAATTAGTCAGATAAAGACTAAATGAATGTAAATGGCTGTGATAACATCAGTCCGTGACAGGACGGCTCAGTGGTTTATAACCACTGCTGTAGTGACTGCGAGGACCATGCATGATGTGAGGCCGTACACAGTTGGACACTATTTGTGTCAATGACAAATGCAAGTGCATAATTGCATGTGTAAAATGTGCACTGTGTTTTGAGGATGCATTTCCCTGCTGCTGAGGTGAATGTTGCATCTAAGCTCAGTATTCATAGAAAACACAAGGGAAGGAAACTTAAATGATTTCCATCTGGCTGGGGAACTTGGTTGCATGTCATTTCCCATCCCTCCCTCCCCTTATTTCCTGTCATTAAATGTAATAAAAACGGCCAAAACATAATTAAAACAATAAAATATTAAATATAAGTATCATTACACTGATGATTTTGATTTGAGTGAACACAATTTGACTCCCTACTTTCCAATTTGTCTTGATTGTACAAAAGCTCTCGTATTCTATTCATACATCAGCAACAGCACAACAGTTTCATTGCAGTTTACTGTGTGATACATCATGTGAAACCATGTAACACTGACCTCTGCAGGATGACAGGAGTATAGTAACTGAAGCATGCACATTGTATTTCAGTTATCTTAATTTGAAATTTGACTTTTACTTACTAATATCTATGGATTTATATTCTTAATTTGTACTGTCAAGCAAGGAAAAGAAACCTCACGACTATGGGGTACAAAAAATTTTCGTAATTGATAAAAAACAGTATACTACTTAGACATCGCAGGCAATCAATACTCTGAATTGCTATTAAAATGTCTTTGCTGGTATTGATAAGAAAGACTGATATCGTGGAGATTGCCAACATGGCACCTATCTGATGTTGGGATGGATTTAATGTATCCTATAGGAAATGAAAGATGCTGCACTCTCTGTTTATACAAGTCCCTCCTGTTGTTGTGTCAGCTGGAAACGCTCCAAAGTGTGTGTACATTTTTAAAGGCGGCCCTGAGCTCACTCATATTGAAACCTCTTTTAATCACTATTACAGGCTGTTCTGTTGATACAACAGAGTAGTTAAAATCTACATGATAGTCAGTTGTTAAGCTCACTCATGATAATATTGCTGGACTTCTGGCAGATAACACTCAGTGTGATGATGGAGCATCTTGTGTTTGTATTTGTGTGTACTGTTGATGGTTAGGGTTAGATTTTTTTCTCCTCTCACCCACACTAGATGTAATGTTAAATAACAAACAGTCTCTTTCTCCCTCACAATTCAAATGCGCTTTATCGACTGTATCAAGAGAAACACTTTCCCCAGAATGTCTGTCAACCACCAAATAACGAAGACACGTTTGTTAGCACACAAAAATGTGAAGAACCCAACAGATTTCACATATGAACGTGCTCTAGCTGTGTGGCATCTGAGGAATGCTGACTCACACTTCCGGTTTCCGGTCCATTCAGGAAATGGCGGAGTTTAACCCCCGGCTGCCACGGGCACTCCACTCTCTTATCTTTCAAGATGCTGTCTGAGCTGTCTGGGCCCCCCAGGGATGGTTTGCTTAGAGGATCAAACTCACTGTAATTTAGTAAACGTTTCTTAAAAGCTTCCTGTACACTGCTGTAGCCTACGGTACTGTGCGCTGGGGGTAAACATGTTTACCCTAAACTTAATGTTTTATCTTTGGCTCGCTATCACTCATCTCACTGTTGCATTTTGCTCCATTCAATATAACATACAATCCAAACTGAAATGAGACCAAGACTTTAATTTAGTCTTCACGCTGCGAAAGCGATAACGTGTGATTATTGCCTTTATGTCACATCCTGCGTGTGCAAACGCTCTTTATTTTCGTTTTATTCAGTGTCATGTGCTTTATAATGTCACACTGTTGACATTTTTGATAAGCACAAAGCTGTTGGAAAAAAAAGCTTTAGAGCGAAAAGATTTTGAAAATTTGCTTCTCTCTTTTTTTCTTTTTTTTTTTTGTCGTAGAGTTAAGCATGATATTTTTTTTAAGTGATTGTAGCCGGTAAAGTGAAGAATGTTTTATGACACTGATAAGAATAAGTGGAATGAAATACAAGAATAAATTACATTTCTAACTAATGTAAATATTTATTCACAAAAAACATTTATGCAAATATAAAATCTCTTTTGTAAGCCCTTTTCTTTATATATCCACCGAATGACTGAAGGAATAGAAAGTGCAAAGTATTGTGCATGTAATCTCAGGTTGTTCATTTCTGTACCATGCAAATATTTAATCCATAACTTTACCTGTGTTGACTTCCCCGGGTCCAAACGTCTTTTTACGTCATGCGTGTACTGTATTTGTATTATCCATCGTTTATCAGTCTTAATTATGTCTCCTCATGCTCCACGGTTGACAACACGATTGGGAGTCAAGAGTAGCAGGAGTACAGTCAGTATAATAAAACTTTCCGAACAGTTCTGAACCTTTTCTTTCAGACATGTTTTCAGATGCCCTTACAGTAGCTGCTAGAGACAGAAGCCATAAATAGCTTGTACATTCAATCAGAAGGTAGGCGTAAAAAATGTGTCCATTTAAAATGAACAAAAAAATAAATTGTATCAGTCATAAAGATGTTTTGTTGGTCCTGTATCCATTCAAGTCTCACTTCTCTTTTTTTTTTTTTTTTCTGTTGCGTCTTGGTTATCAGCAGGAAACATTTTCTTTTTCTTTAATCACGGCTGCATCTCATATTGTCCCTCCGTGGCAATAAAGAAGTCATTGAGAATGTTCTGCAGAAATTCAAAAGTTGGCCGTTCCTCAGGCTTCTGCTTCCAGCACATCATCATTATGTCGTAGAGTTCCTGGGGACAGCCTTCTGGAGATGGCATCCTGTACGATCTGTCCAGGCTCCTGATCACCTCTGGGTTGGTCATCCCTGATTAAGAAAAAGAAAATGCAGCTAGTGTGAGATTATAATGAATTTTTAGTAAAAGTATTTTGCAACGTACGTGGCTACAAAGCAGCAACACAGCATTTAAGATTGGTTTCTATACAGTATGTCAACGGTACACAGTGTTTTGCTGAACACTCACAATACATTTTTCTTTCTTTTTTTTGTTTATTTCTCATGTGCTGTACCTGGGTAGGGTATTCTTCCATAGGTAACTATTTCTGTCAGGAGGATCCCAAAAGACCAGACATCCGACTTGATGCTGAATGTGCCAAAATTGATGGCCTCTGGAGCCGTCCACTTGATGGGAAATTTAGCACCTAGTTGTCAGAAAGAGGTTGAGAAAAAGTGAAGGGAAATTGTGTTACTGGCTTGTGACTGTAGTTGAGTGCGTTTGTGTGTTTGTTTGTGTGTTTATTCTTAACGTGGTGATATGACGATATAAACCCTAAAATTATAGAGATTTTACGATACCATTTTTACAGAGATGGCTACATCTTTAATATCTCTGACTATTTTTGTCCTTTTTTGTCAATGCTGGTAAATATAGATTTACAGGATTTTTGCAGCAATGTGAAGTAAATACCTGACTCGAGGTACCTTGAGTCAGATAATAAGTTCACTGGATTAGACAACAAAACATGAATTCTTTTCTGGTTATTTTGTCAAAAAATGGTACCACAAAAAATTACTAGTGTAACACAATATAAAATTACATATATAGTGTCATGATACAAGGTTTCATTCTCATCTCCCACTGCTATTCATCTATACGATGGCATACGTTGGAATTCGCATTAGAACCACAGCATGTTGTCAGAAGTTAAAGTAATGTGCTGTAGCTACTATAGATTCTAAGGTCATGTCCTGTGTATTTTTTTCTGGGACTTTGGGGGTTTTAGCAGCCAGGGGGGAGGTCCCATTCTAAAATGTAAAATGTATACGTGTTGGGTATTTTATAGGCTGATTCCAGTAATTTAGACTGTATTTCCTATATATACTATACTAATATACTATATATATTATGTTATTCCAGGCAGTCTGGAGAAGTTCTTAGACCAGCGTTGCAGTATTACATGCCGCAGCTAGCTCTTCCATCTACTTTCTTTTTTCTTTTTTTTTTTACAGGCAATTGCAGCAAACTACATCTAACATGTTTTTTTTAATTTGTTTATTTAAATGTTGCTTCCATGTTTTTTTTGGGAGGTTTGCACTTCCAACATCAAGCTCTTTTTTAATTATTAGTTACTTTGGACAGTCTGCCAAATTATTATGATGTAATGTAATTTAGACCTTTTTGTTGGTGAAGAAAAAAAACGTCACAGAAAATATAAATTAACAGGTAACTCATAAATGCAACAAAAAACAGAAATGAAATGACTAAATAAGGATGTGTTTGGGGGTTTCTAAAATTTTGGCTATGGCCATGGGCACATTTACTGTGCAATGTTTGAAACACTGCACGTACCTTCTTGAGCTGTGTATTCTGACTCAATGATCCTGGCGAGGCCAAAGTCTGCTATCTTGCAGTGCAGGGTCTCACTGACTAGTATGTTGGCTGCACGCACGTCTCGGTGGATGTAGTTCTTCCTCTCGATGTATGCCATGCCTTCAGCTATCTGTCATATAGAAAAATCAGGAAATCAACACAGGATATAACTTTTTAGGGTCATTTTCAGGTCAAAGACAAAACAAACATATCCGTTTTAGAACAGAATCCATTGGATTAATGAAGATTTTTTTTTTTTTTTTTTTTTTTTTTTTTTTTTTACACATATGTGTCTACTTCCTTGGTCAACATGTACAGTGATTGAGCACATGCAATAGTGCAGCTTCACTTTGTGTGTATATGTAACGTGTTTATATGCACAGTAATGAAAGTAAAGTGGGTTTAACAGGATGTGCCAACTCTCAGGAAGTGAAATGCTTTTTTTGGAGGGGCAAGACTTCTGGGGGAGCTCACTCTGGGTGGAAAAATAGCATGATTTCCTGTCCGGATGTTAATAATTGACGTAGGGTGAGGCTTTGAGCCAGATGAGCAAAAGCCCCACTACAGAAACCACACAGCTACTGACAGTTTCCACGTGTATTAACATCCTGATTGCTGTCAAAGTGTACACTACAACAGACATTCAAAGAGTAACTGGTGTGTATAAATAGACTTTGAGGTCACCAATTAAGCTATAATTTTTGTTTCTGACAAATGATGCAAAAATCAGGGAATTAAATACTAATGTCATGTAATCACAATCAACCACAACTTCAGAAACACAAGAATTACAGATGCACACAAGTGGAAAAAAGGTCATAACCCTCTGAAAAAAAGCTTTCATGTTATCACAGAGGTGAGGGTTCACAGTGTAATGAAAATGTCACGTAGTCTACAAGATGCAAAATCATAAGGTTATAAGTAAAGGTTTCCCACCTGTGCTGACATGTCTATCAGCTTATTGAGCTTTAGCTTTCTTCCCTCGTCTGTTTTTAGAAAGTCTAGAAGACATCCTGAAAATGAAAAGGAGAAGTACTGTATCAGAAAAAGAAGGTAGTTATAAGATAAGTATTCTAGTTCATATCTTTTTCCAATTAAATCATTCCAATTATTGAAGGACATACCGGTGCATCTTATACTGAAAGAAACCAAATTTATATGATGAGTGATGTCATGTGTTATCAAGTGGTAAGGCTATAGTCATTTGTTTTAAGGCTCCAGCAGCTAGAAATAACATCACAAACACCTGTTCTGTATAATAGTGTGTGGAGTTTTGCATTAGTGTTTGAGTCTGTAGTTTATGACGTTCGAATGACTTTATTACAGAATAATGTCCAATATAAAAACACCTCATACTATGGATTCAAAAGTAACCACAGAATTGAATTAGCTGCCTGATACAGTCACTTACAGTGAAAATTATAAGCTTCACAACTGCAGTTTTTAATTGGTTCTCATTTGCTGCGTGTCATAGTATATTGAAATTGTTTGGGTTTTGAATTCTTGGTTGGACAGAAGTTTTTTGAACTTTGGGTATTATCATATCAGCAGGATATTTTAGTAAAAATTTCCACATCTCAAAAATATTCGTTCGGAAAAGGACTGATGTAAGTAATTATTCATCTATATTTTCACATAGGGCACCACCCCCCCCTTTTTCCTACCATTGATCATGAACTCTGTGACAATGAGAATGGGTTCCTTCGTGACCACTGCATGGAGCCGCACCAGTCGCTCATGCTTCAGCTGCTTCATCAGGTTGGCTTCCTGGAGGAAGGCCTCAGGCTCCATCGTTCCCTCCTTTAAGGTCTTAATGGCGACCTTCTGGGTGTTCTTGTAGTAACCTGATGTAGGAATTAAAACAAAGTGCTTACAGTAATGCACTGTGCTTTGCTGTCATAGTTTATGAATGCCTCCAATGACAGGCTGAGTTGGTAGCTTTCTCTCACCCATCCACACTTCTCCAAACTGCCCAGCTCCGAGTTTCTTCACCATTTTCAGCGTCTCTCTGGGAATCTCCCATTCATCGTGAGCCCATGGCTGCTGGGGTGCTTTAGGCTTACAGGGAGCATACAGTCGCTGACACAACCCGTCGGCTGTACCTGCAGACAAGTATGATACATGTTTTTTGTTTTTTTTCCGGTCTCTTCGCTGTTGTGCTAAATTTAGTAACTGAAACATTGTAGGTCTGATGAGCTTTTGTTTCCTTAATTTTGAAAGTGTTTTTCTGTAAGCTCGTGTGTAGTTCATAAGTTGTGTGTTGGCAGCCATTCTAGAGATTTGGCCTTCTTATCATGTGGTATAGTCACAGGGTGGAAAGACTATCACTCCTCTCACACAGGAAATGCACTGCACATCACACCACAAGGGTCTAACTTGTCAGTGCAGACAACTTATAGTTCACAACACTGAACTGAATCAGGGTCCAAATTGTCGCTTTCAGGTTCTGTCATAATGTTTGATTTGGAAATTCTGATATATTTCACAACCTGTACATAAACTTGCTTCTTTTTAAATATTGTAGATAAAAAAATTTGATTTAATGAAATTCTGTTGGTGGATGGGATGAATTTCTATTTATTACTTACGGGTGTAGTATTTAACCAGTTCCTGTAGGGATGGGAACGTGTTGGAAGGAGAGATGTAGTAGCCACCTTTGTCCAGACAGCGGATCTTGTAGTGTTTTACCACATCGTCTTGGTCCGTTACATGATCTCTGACTGACAATGAGAGGGACCCTGAAGGGAAAACAAATCGATTGCACAGGAACACATAGGGTTTAACACTTGAACAGTTTTAGAATTCAGTATATTTGCATTTTTCTGAATATGCCTTCCTGAGATGCCACTGAAATTCTGATTTGTGGCACAATCAAACATGAAGAGACTTATGGGGGTCACCTTTACAGGTCTCACTCTCTCGAACTAGGAAAGCACCCGCTTTATTTCCGGGGGCCAAAAGCAGTCGTTCAGTCTCTCTCCGACTCAAGTCCTTGAAAAACCATCTACAGAAGAGACAACAAATGTACTTTGTAACTATTTAAAAACATATACAGATGTATTTTCAGTCCATAAAATGTTGTTGCAGTGCTAAATATCATCTGCCACGTGGTTTGATAATAACTTTTGTAGTGTTTAATTTGCTGCTCACTTTTCCATCTCCAGGGTATCTGCTCTGGCGACATAATTAGATGGTATGTAGCCCTCCTGTCCAGTCAACAGTGATTTAGCCAGCCACCATTCCCCATTTCTACAAACAAGACAAACATGACAGATCATTTTTATTTTGTTACGTTAAAAGTAAAAATGTGCGTTTCACTACTGCAGGGTACATACTGTGTAGTAGGGACTGTGACGAGACTTACTCTTGCAAAACCTTAAGTTTGTCTCCCTTCTTGAAAGGCAGATCGTTGTCGTTGTTCGCTTTGAAGTCATGTTGTGCCACAAACACAGTGTCGTCTAAAGTCAAGCAGAGCAAACGGTTATTTCAAAAGAAGTGAGTTCAAGAAGTTACTTCACTTTTGAGTCTCCATTTACGTTTTTTTTTTAAAAAAGTAATTTTTTTCTTTTGGTCTTCATCTCTGGGCATAAACTGTATTCCTAGTCCATACAATTGTATTTAAAGGAGTGTTTTACTGTTCTTCTCTAAGTAACAACTGTTCTCTAGTTTTTACACTGTCTGTGACATTAACATGACTTTCTTCTCTTCTCTCATGAATAATCTCATCTCTACCCCAGAAGAGTACAGAGGAAATCCAACAGAGATTTTAATCGCTAAATGTAGCCTCCTCTTACGGCTATTAACGTCTCTCTGCACAGCAACAGTCGAATTCATAAAAGCAGGCCCATTATTTTTCAGTTGACGGTTTGTTATGTGGGTTGTGTTCAGTGATTACCGTTATCCACATAGTTGTCTCCACTTCGTGCCTAAAGAACAGAAATAAGTATCTTTTTTAATAATCAAAGTGAGTAAGTCTGCTAAATAATGTAAAGTCATTCATCTAGATTAGTTTCAAATCACAGTAAATTATTTTACTTTGTACTTAATGAAAATGAGCAAAGTGTTTTTCCTTTAAGCAGTCTACTTACAATGTGATTTAGTGAGTTGGAGGCCTGAGAGTTGTGTTTTCTTTTGTAGAACTCGCCCTCGTTTACTTGTTTCTGGCCACTGCAAGTGCAGCCCATCCTGAATATATAATGGCAAAGGTTACATTCTTCGGTTATACTGCATACTACTAACAAGAATTACTTAATGTAAAATTACAGCACATGCTGCTTAATACTATCACCCATATCAAGTTCCTGCTAAGAGCCTCAGATAGATACAACATGTTCATTTCTGTGCTTTTACCTGATAAAGCAGATGAGCTTTACTGAAGCTGTTTTCAGTCTCCACTCCTCCCACTGCAGGGCCTGGTCTGTGAGTTCATACCAGCTGCTGAAAATGAATTAAACCTACTCAGAGTTACTAAATCAAAAGTGGTGAGTCTGTTTTAAGTTCAGTTTTCTTGGGTTTCAAGTACATAGATTTGCTTCTCATATGAAGAAGTGGAAAAAAAATGTTTACAGGTTTGTATAGCGTCATTTGCATGTGCTGTTTGAGATACAGGCACAATGTCATGTCATGGTTAAAAATACAGGAAGAATTAAATGCTAAAAATAACTGATAAGACTCAGATGCAGAAATTTACAGTGAATTTGTCTTTGTATTAGCGTCAGTAGGAATGCGTCATTTCTTTTATTTACTTATTACTGCAGTTCCTGAATCTGAAGAGGTAGTCCTATAAGATGTTTGTGTTAAAACTTTTAAATGGGTGGTGAATTAAAAAAAATGTCATACTGATCATCATTTGAATCAAACAGACCTAAGAGAAGCTATAAGTGCCCATTTCAACATTGTCCTTATTTGAATATATGGCAGCTAGAAGGGGGATTAATATTAGGACAAAGCTCAAACATTATGCTTGTACATGCAAATTGTCAAGTCTGAATGTCAACATGTGTACAGTCACAATGTCCAGCACAACCAAAACTTAAAAATATACAACAGGATATTTGTTGATGTCAGCATTTATGTGTCAGCATAGGACTAATGATTTGCTTTCATCATGCTTTAATTAATAATATCACACATGACAGTCAAGATTACCTTTTAAAAAGTAACAATCTTGGTGTTTACATTGCCACAACTATCCAGTAATGTGTAACTAAAACTGTAGTAAGTCAAAGTCGCACTGCTGTTGAGCAGTGGCAAACTTTCTATAATCATTCTTTATATTTAAGTGTAGCTTTATATGCTTAAGTGTACATCCCATGTCTATTTCATGTGGAAAATTTGATCCTTTCAAGGAAAATTAGGTTTATTTGTCTCAGTGTACATTTATTTTCACATAAAGCATTATGATAGTTTGTAACTGCTTGTGTTATAAACATTTTGCTCCCAAATAATTGTTATAAACGTTCTGTTATGATTACAATTAACTATGTGACTTAACCGTGTTCAACCGTCAAGTATTTCAATGGGGGGGGGGTTTCCAATTAAAACATTATAACAGTTTTCGACATCATTAAAATCACTCCTTTTTATTCTTAATTTTACACTATTTGGCATAGTTGTTCAGTTTTTTACCACCGTAAAATTACAGAATCTGTACTTGTGGCCGTACTCTGTATTGTGATATAATCATACAGCAAGTAAATACCTTGACTTTGTCCCCCAGGCTTGTGTTGTCAAAAGTACTCCAGATGCAAAATGTCTTTAAGTTCCTTATTGAACCAAGTGCTTGTCAGTATGTCACTCACACTGGCTCATTTCGGTTTTGAAAGTTTCTCTCTCTCTCTTTTGTTCTCTCTCTCGCGCTCTCCCTCTGTTCTTTTCTCTCTCTCTCTCTCTCTCTCATACACACACAGTAAAGACCAGGGCCTCCCCTGGGGTGGACTACACTAACTTTACTGTAAAAGGTAGAAGTTTATTTATTTTGTCGTATTTATACTGTATATTTGGTAATTCCCTCTCACCTTGTGGTTAAACTCCTCTTAGTTAGTTTCAAACAAACCTTCACTTGGGGTGTAGTGAATAAAATGAATGAATACAGTTTATATTCACAAATGTATCACAACAAAGGTCAGATTTATTGACCAAATTACAAAGACAGAGATGTTTACTAATTGACTGCTAAAAGGGTTGGTGGACATTCTATAGTTTGTGTTACTATATAAGCGGCTGACTGTTGTTTGTACAATTGGCCAATGTGTTCGCATGGGTGAATAGTGATGAGTATAGGTGTGGTTGAGTGTTGGATACTATAACATATTTCTCAGTTCCTCATATTGTTTATCTCTTTATCTTTGCAGCTTAGCAACCATTAAACGTGTTTTCAGTGGAGTAGTTCAGTAAAGCAGTACACATTCTCACCACAAGATGGAGTGGTGAACTGGCCATGAGACCCTCTAATTGAGAAACTGTATTGGAGTATGTGCTCATGGGAAGACTGGAAGTGCTTTTCTCATATACCTGTGAAAGGCCAAAGGTTGTAAGTGTTATTGCATTGTTAAATCTTCTTGTGCCAAATCTGCAAATTAAGATTATCCTGACTTATTCATATTTTTTTGTACTTGTACACCTTTGAGATTTATCTCTTTAGATGAAAGTGTTCCTACTAAGATAAGGAAGTTCCCTATTTCCTATCCTCCTCTTCTTGCAGCCCTCCTTTTACCCGTATTGCCTGTTGGCCACAAACTGGAAGATAATGGAAGTAAGACCATATATCACACACTGTTTGAATGTGAATGTGAAATAGTACTGGGGCTGGTTCACCAGAATCAGTAGAGATGCTGATACTTTTTAGTATTAAGAGCTGCAAATGTACTGTTCTGTAGAGGACAGCTGTTATAAGGTGAAGGCACCAATAATAGATCATTACCACCAAATGATTTGGGAAGCATACTTTTTTTGTTTTTATTGTTGTCTGTTTGTTACTTTGTCAAATGTATATTAATATTAATAATTTGTGGTGTGAACTAATGTGCAACAGATCCGTTTTTATGCTATTATTTATTGTAGAGACTTGTGGTATACTTGAAGTATCAAAATGCCCACCCCTACTTTTAGTGCTCTTTTAAGATGACTCTTTCTTGCCTCTGTGCTTTGATTTGTATCTTTATTTTAAAGTTTTTTTTTAATGAACAAATAATAAACACTCCTCTTGATTAAGCCTATACTGGTTCTGTATTTACCTCCAGTCCATAGTTGAGGTCTAGTTGCTCCCCAGAGTTGACACTAGATGGCGTAAAAAGTCACATTTTATTCCCTAACTCTCCTAAAGTAGCTCAGTTTGAAGACACTTTGCCAGCTTTTCCCTAAAATCATGCCAAGGTTTGACCTCCAATATAGAAATTATTCAATACAGTGTTGCACTATATTGAATCATGTTGGGGATTTTTATTGCGTAATGTTCGTATGTCTGTACCTGATGCAGAGGACAGTGTGCGGATGTGAATACAGATGCATTCTGTCACACAGGGGGAAAAAAATGCCAGCTGATGTGCGGTCAATCTATCAAAGTATAACAATGTGTTGGTTTTTCACACTGTACAGTACAGTTAACCAGCTATTTCCTTTTCTCACCACAAAATGCAACTGAGGAGGGAATTCACCCATCCTCTACAGACAATGAACACAAAACAACATGTCCTGGAGTTATCTGGCAGTATTTATTACCCTTTTGTTTCTGGCTTACATGCTAAATTACTATTAAATATTATTAAGAATGAATCAAAGAACTTTGTAAGGAAGATATCATTCAGGGTATGTTGTGACCTATAAGTGCAGGGAACAATAAATCTTACAGCACCGGAAGTGTTTGTTTCCTATGGGGGGCTTTATACAACACGCAACGTGGGGATATTACTCTCTGGGCAACACTTCACAGGTTTTTGTTTGGACCACCTGTGCTGTGTGTGGGGACTGTGCTGTGCTGTAGTTCTCTGAAGGAACAACCTCACTTCACTATACACACAAAAGCACACACACAGGCTGCAGGTGCACAGTGAGTGTTATTGAGTGCGTCCTGGTTACTAACTGCTGTTTCTCTTTATACTCACTTCTTTTGGTTTTCCATCAGCCCTTGTTTTCTTCCCAGGGCTTGGCGGATGCTTGTGTGCAGCTCTGTTGGGGTCCCCAGACATTGCATCCTGCCTGCAGAAGGGTCATAAGTGGCCCCACAGGATAACCTGAACAACGGTGGGAAAGAAAGGGAGCGTGGGTCTCCTTTAGTATCGCAGTCCTGGCCACCTCTGTGCCAAAAGCATACATGCTGCCAATGGCTGATTTCAATTGCCATTATTAATGTGAGTGTGCACTGCATGTAACTGAAAATGTCTGTACATGTGCTTATGTGAGTGTTTTTGATTTGTGTGTGTGTGTGTGTGTGTGTGTGCGCGTGTGTGTGGGTGTGGGTGTGTGTGTGTGTGTGTGTGGGGGGGGGTGTGGGTGTGGGTGTGGGTGTGTGGCAAAGCTAAAAATTTACATTTAACATGAAGATTAGAAATTGAATATTTACTGGAAGCTGTACTGCAAGTGCTCAGTCAGGGTTGTGTCAGTGTTTAGTAAAGTACTCACACGCACGCACACACACACAAATCAGCACACAAGCACACACTTTCCTCAATTTTGATCCCCCTCTACATCACAAGAGGCCCCTTTTTGACTTCCTGTCTGTGTGGGAACCGTTTCTATCCTCTGTCACACATGGAGTGAGAGAAGGTCTCGCTCCTGCATTTGCCCTAAAAAGACAAAGTGATTGTCAATAAACAAGGAACAATTGAACCCCCTCGATGTATTCAACAGGCACTTCTGCTGTTCCTCCGGGATGTCCATGAGTTTCAGGAGTGCTTCACTTTTCCTAGTTTCCTCCATTTGACTCCACATTGTAGCTTAATTTGTGGGATTTACTGTAATAGCAGTGCTCCCTTCATATTTATTTATTCTTTAATGTTTTTCTTATTTGTTTTTCTTACTGGCCATTACTATATTAATGTATTATTATATTACAAAAACCTGCATTTCACCCAGTTAAATGGTACCAGTCATCTCTGCAGTTGGATTTTGTAGTGAAGTTGTTTGGAGCAGCAAACTTATGCAGCTGTTCCAGTGGCAAGTTGCTCTGAGGTAAACATGGTTGCGGGAAAACCCCTTATTATTGTGCTCCGGATGACGTTCCTCACTCTTCCAGTGTTTACCATGGAAATAACTCTGTGCCAGCGAGCAGGTGCTTCCTCAAAAAACGCTTTGCTTTTCCAGAAGATTTGCTTTAGATTCATCTCAACAAATCAAACATTAGTTATTAAGCATTGTTATGAAAGAGGTTACGATAAATTGTGGTTAGAGGTATAGTATCATTACGTTACATTTAGAAACTGACATGGTTTTTCCACTATATACTTTTTATAACAGGTTTTTATTTCATCAATAGTCTAATTGAGTACTGTTATCACATTTCCTCCTTGAGGAACAATGTCACATTATGCTCACAGCAGACCTACTTTCACATAAATGACCAGCCAGCATCTTGAACCTGCTGACATAACTCTAGTTTACACAAGCCTGTTTGTTTGAGACTATACTTTATTATTCCTTTACTTATTAAAAATAATAAGAAAGAGGAATATCCGAGTAAAAACAATAAAGGCAAAAAGGAACAAAAATGTAATTTCCTTAAACCCTGTACACTGCCAAGCTCCGCCTACACAGGTGTTTTCACTTTGCCTAATTAGACTCATATCATCACTTGGAGTGGTCCAATTAGATGATGATGAATAATGTAAATAAGGCAATTTTGGAGTTGTCTGAAGCAACATTTTTGAAACACAGTAGTTCTCCCTTATTCAGTATTTTTGCTAAGCTAAGCAAAACAACCAACAAGCACACCTACTCCACTCTTGAGTAAAAGTATTCCTTCATCTTCCAGAAAGGAGTAGTGGACTGTTGAATGCAGGCAGCACATGCAGCAAGATGTTCTTGTCTCAATACAAAGGCTTGAGAGGAGAGGCCTGTACCTCACTTTGGTGTTATGCAGTCAATCAGAGTGACACCAATTATGTATGTCACATGACCACAAGAGACTGCAAATGGAAACTCTGAGAGGGGCACATCCATCAGCTCCATCTAATGGGGCTTGCTGTAGAAGGAGAATGAATGAAGTCTCAACAGACAGTCTCACGCACCCATTCACCAGACCTTTCCACAGAAGTACATTATACTTGTGTATGGGATATCTATTATGCTTGCAATTATCTTGGACAATTCAGTAAATAGTGAAGACTGAAATGATCATTGTTGTGCCAATGCTGTGCATGAGGTTCATAACTCACAAATTTAGTCCATTGATTTAAATAAAAAAGGCTCCAGAAAGTATCTTTGGATGAACCTGTAGATCAGAACACAGTGTCCAATGTTACTTCAGCAGATATAGATAATTTGCAATTTTTTTAAATTTTACACACAATTTCTTTTAGTATGGAAATGTTTGTGAATGTGGTGAATCGAACTATGGATTATCTTTAATCATTATGATTTGGTTATGATTCTGTTCATCCAACATAATATACTGTTTTGTTTGTTTGTTTTTTTTTGTTTTTTTTTTTACAGATTTACAAATATAGTAAGTAATGTTTGATCTGGTCTTTCACCATACTGAAACACTGCTGTTAACAGTATTATTAGTTACTCCAAGAATGTTGCATGTATAGTGGCACATTTTCAAGTTTCAGCCAAGTAACTTCTAAAATATAATGTTTTTGTAGGAAGCCTCAGTTTATGCTGTAAATGCCACGTGTCATTGTCACTCTTTTGATTTTTGTGAATTTGAAATATATCTCTTACAAAAGAATAACACAAATGAGTTTGAAGTACATTTAATTTGAAAGACATTTCGTACAGTACATTGAGCAAAGGTAATAACCTCTGTACCACAGAGAATAATGTATTGCCTTACTGATAAACACTGTTGAATGGTCTAAAATACAGAATAGGTGAACCTCATAATACATAAAACTCTGCCATGACTTTTGCTACCTTCCAGAGATGTTCGTGTTCATCTGCTATAGAAATCAATTAAAGCTATGACGGAATTGTGAAGAATCTTACACTGATGTTCATCATCATCCAATTCTTTAGATCCACCACTAAAATGCTGCCATGAACAGTACTGTATCTGCACAATAGTAAGTTAAACATTCACAATGAATAATATCAGTATTTTCTGGCTTTCCAGGAAAGTACAGTATTAACTAGAAAAGTATATAACTTTTTACTATTTTAAAGGTGCTATATGTAAGTTTTCTCTACTGCTGAACTTGGTTTCTTGCCAGGAGCGGGTAATAGTGGTGATGGTCACTTGCCAAGAGCTACAGTGACTTCCTGTTGCAAAGTAGTAGAGGGGACAGGCTGGGGCTGGCTGGTTAGCATGCTACCTTCAGTAGGCGGCTGTGGCTCAGGATGTAGAGCGAGTTGTTCACTAATCAAAAGGTCAGTAGTTTGATCCCCAGCTCCTGCTGTTTGAATTGCATGATTGTTTGAGAGAATGTGGCTTGTAGTGTAAAGTGCTTTGAATGATTAATAGGACTAGTGAGTCATTTAGTAGAAGTGATAGAAATAGAAGCAAAACAATAGTCAATATTGGTGTTAATTAACAGCTGTTAATGCCAAAGTTGACTATGTAGCAATAGCAAAAAGTTACATGTAGCACATTAAAATTTTAACATTAGTCTTCAAATAATACTTTTGATTAGATTAAATACATTCACAGACCTGCTTAATCCTGCATTAAAATGTTGAGCAGCAAGAATGGTATAAATATACTGTAGTAATTTGAAAAAAACTACAGTATATGTGCATGTATGACATTTTAAGTAATTAATGCAACAGTTGCATAGTTTATCATTAGTGAACATTGCCATGTTCTGTTTTAGGCTCAATATGTAACAAATAATCTATGGCTCAGTTCATGAAAACAAATGTTTTTGTTTTGCATAAAATTATGCAAATCCCCTACATATAGAATATACATTCAAGTTTTTAAGATTACTTTTTCATACTGGTGTATGATCAGTTGTTGTGCATATGTTCAATCTCAGCGTTAGGAATGCTTGAACAAAGTGTTTCTTTGGTGCATGATTAACAAGAATTTAAAATTGAATTAGAAATGACAATAATCTAGATAAATCCTTTTGCTTTCTTGACTTTATAGTAAGACTTAAGACTCATTGCTTGTAGCATCAATATCATTAGCTGTCTTCTTGTTATGTTCTATGGTAGACTCCTTCTACAGTAGTTCTCCTCAGCATTTGTAGAGTCACAGTCAAGTTACGATGAAATCTTTTTCAAACTCTCGAGGCTTGTAACTCCTTCTTGGCTGTTTATTTCACTCTCAGAATCTTCAACATCAGCATAAGCGCCATCCTCAGATTCTGCATTCACTTTGGTCAAAGTATCAAGTGGGATTAATGTTGTTCCCTCAGCTGCTCTGTTAGCTGCCTCTTGATTATCTGCCTTGCTTGGATCAAAATCTTGCTCTCCATCATCAGTCTCTTCCTCTGGTTCTTCTGAATCTTCCTCTGCCTCATCTTCTCCATCAGCTGAATCTCCCTGGTTTCCACTCCAGTCTTCATTGGGTGTCTCAGTTTCCTCCTCATCTTCAAAAGCTTTGACATGGTCTTCATCATTGCCATGGCTTCCATCTGGCATAGTTGCATTGGTCTCTGTCTGTCCATCAGTAGCTTCATCTACGTCTTCTACTGGTACGTTTTCATCATTGTTTTCTGATATTTCCTCCACATGCACATCCTCATCCTTATCCGGTTTCAGCTCCACCACATCATCAGGGCCTTCTGTTTCATTATTTGTCTCTGTTAAACCATCATCTCGATGATCCTCAGTCAAGTCACTTTCTTCACATGTATTTCCAACTTTGTCAGAATTAGTCTCAGACTCATTGCCAGTATTGTCTACCTCTTCATCATCTCCTTGAGTAAGTTGCTGTCTGTCGTCTTGTGGAGATTCATCCTCTGTGTTATCTGTGGGTTCTTCCCTTCCTGTTTGAGCTTCTCCAGCCTCCTCTCCTGCAGATGCACCTTCTGTTCCTGATTCTTCTTCCCTGTCGCTTTCAGTAATGTCATTCCCTGCCCCTTCAGTTTCTCCTGACTTTTCCTCTGCTGTTTCACGTTCTTCAGTGTCATCTCCTGTTGTTGCAGCCTCTGTGCAGTCTTCACCTGTTGCTTCAGACTCCCTGCCACTTTCATTTTCCGCCTCCTCGGATTCCTCTCCAGTTGTTTCACCTTCTACTATTTCCTTGATGGGAGATTTATAATCTTCTTCTTCACTTCGTTCTTCTTCTTTAATAAATTCTTCAGTGGCACTGCTTTCTGCATTTGTTTCAGATGGTTCTGTCTCATGAAGCTCTGCTTCATCATGTTCTGCATCATTTAAAGTCTCATTTTCATCTGTAGCCACTTTATCCTCTTCTGCTGTCTCGTCCTCTCCTGTAGTTTCATCTGCAGTCTCATTTTCAGACTCGGCTTCTGAATGTCCTGATTCATTATCATTTGTAACTTTTGAAGTATCCTCTTCCCCTGCGGTCTCCTTTGCATCTGTTGTTGCATTGTTTAGTGATTCATTTTCATCTGTGGCTGATTCATTGTTCTCCTCCTCTGATTCATTTTCTGTCACAGCTTTGGAGCTTCCTTCTGTTGCAGATTTGGGATCAGCTTCTACATTATCATGCCCTTCTACAAGTTCTTCTCCATCTTTAATTGTTACTGCTTCGGTTGGTTTTGACAGTTTGTTAGCTTGGGCTGTGTTATCATTCTCTGATGTTTCATCATCATTTGTGCTGGCATCCATGCCTTCTGTAGAATCATCTTCACTGCTAGCAGCAGTTTCCTCCACATCTTCAGTTGTCCCTGCTTCTGCAGCCTCATCTTTGTCAGATTCATGTTCACTTGTGTTCACAACTTGTGCTGTACTTTCCTCTTCAGCTGTGGCGGCTTCATGAGCTTCTTCCATTTCATCTTCACTTGTTGCAGCAATCTCGTTTTCTTCTGCAATCTCATCTTCAGTTGTTGCTTTTTCAGCAGTTTCATTGTCATCTGACTCAGACTCATCTGCACTAGCAGCTGGAATCTCGTCTTCCACCGCTACATCTTTGTCAGATTCGTGTTCAGTTGTAGCTGCAACATCTGCCTCTTCTGCTTCACTGTTATCTGCAGCTTCATCTTCACTTGTGACAGCAATATCTTTTCCCACAGCACTTTCATCTTCAGCTGTTGTTGCTTCATCATTGTCAGCAGTTTCATCTTCATCGTTTGTGCTAGCAGTCTGCTGATCAACCATCTCTTCTTCCACAGACTCATCCTCTTCAGATTCATCTTCAGATGTGACAGCCACAACAGACCCTTTTGCAGGGTCTTCGCCTTCAACTATGTTGGCTTCTGCAAGCTCCTCCTTTGATTCATCTTCACTTGTGAAATCCATCTCTTTTTCTGTAGGAGTCTCATCTTCAGTTGTTGCCACTTTAGCTGGTTCCTTTGACATTTCATCAACTGTGCCATCATTTTCCTCTGTGGTCTCATCTTCATTTGTGGCGGTATCTTCTGCAGAATCATCATCACTGGTGGCAGCAGTCTCCTCTCGATCTTCAAACACCCCTGCTTCCACAGCTTCTGATTTGTCAGATTCATTTTCAGTTGTGGCAGCCACAGAAGTGCCTTCTGCTGGAACTTCATCTTCACTGGCATCTTCTTTTGAATCATCTTCACTTGTGATTTCTTTTTCTTTAGCCATCTCATCTTCAGTTTCTGCGTCTTCAGCTGATTCTTTTAATACATCGTCAGGATTGACTGTGTCACTGTTCTCATCTGCAGACTCATCTGCACTGGTGGAAGCTAGCTTTTCTTCATCACTGCCTGTTCCTTCATCCACAGACTTATCTTTGTCAGATTCATGTTCACTTGTGGCTTCCATAGTGATCTCTTCTGCGTTTTCATCTTCAGCTGTGGTGGCTTCAGCAGCCTCTTCTTTAAATTCATCCTCACTTGTAACAACAATCTCCTTTTCTCCAACAAGCTCATCTTCTGTTGTTGCTTCTTTAGTTGGTTCCTTTGACAGTAGATAAACCCTGGCATCATTCTCCTCTGCACTTTCATCTTCATTTGTGTTGTCGTCTAAATTTTCTGCAGAATCATCATCATCACTGGTGGCAGCAGTCTCTTCCATGTCTTTAACTACCCCTGCTACCACAACTTCCTCTTTGTCTGATGCATGCTCAGTTGAGGCTGCCACAGACGTGTCTTCTGCTGCAATTTCATCTTCAGCAGTCTCATCATTTGAATCATCTTCGCCTGTGACAGCAAGCTCTCTTTCTGCAGCCATCTCGTCATCCGTTGTTGCCTCTTCAACTGGCTCTTTTGATGATTCATCAGCTGTGGTTGTGTCACAGTTCTCATCTGAAGATTCATCTGCACTGGTGGCAGGGATCTCCTCTTCATCATCAACTGTCCCCTCTTCCTCAACCTCATCTTTGTCAGATACATGTTCACTCGTGGCTTCCATACTGGGCTCTGCTGCTGCATTTTCATCCTTAGCTCCAGTGGCTTCAGAAGCCTCCTCCTGAAGTTCATCTTCACTTGCAATCTCATCTTCAGATGTTGCCCCTCTTGCTGGTTCCTTTGCTGATTCATCAGCTGAGGCTGTGTCTTTGTTCTTATCTGCAGAATCATCTGACCCAGCAGCATGATTCTCTTCTTCATTATCAGCCATCTCTGCTTCCACAGGTTCTTCTTTGTCATATTCATCTTCTGTTGTGGCTGCCACAACAGACTCTTCAGCTGAAATTTCTTCGGCCCCTTCCTTAGACTCATCTTCACTTGTGATCACAATTTCTCTTACTACAAGAACCTCATCTTCATCTGGTTGTTTTGGCAACTCATCACCTGTGATGGTGTCATCCTCTTTTGTAATTTCATTTTCATCTTCATTTGAGGTGGTTTCCATACTCTCTGAAGAATCTGCTCCCACTTCCACAGCCTCCTCTTTGTCAGAGTGGTCTTCAGTTGATGGAATCATAGCGGTCGCTTCTGCTGTGTTTTCATTCTTACATATGGTTGATTCCTGTTCCTCTGTTATATCTCCAGTTGTTACTGCTTTCTCTCTGTCTTTTTCTGATGTTTCATTTTCAGCAGTAGCTGCTTCGTTTTCTTCAGACGTTTCTTCTTTCTCTACCATGGATTCATCTTCACCCACGCCTATGTTTGCACTCTCATTTGTGTCCCTTTCATCTTCTGTTTTGCTTATTTCCTTGTCATTATCTGAAGGACAGTATTTTGCTGTTACTACAGCAGCAGTCTGTTCAGTCAGTTCTTTGATTGTGTCTGCTCCTTCTGCTTCATTGTTTTCAGAACCATCTTCTTGACTTGGATGGTGATGGACATCATCTGCTTCCTTTTCAAATTCATCTTCAGTGTCATGGTGTTCCTTATCCCCTTCCACTTCCCTTACAGCTTTGGCAATGACTTCTTCTACGAGTGTCTCTACTGCTTTTGTCTTAATAAAATTTTCGGAATGAGATGTACAGTTGGTTGCCTGTTTATTGCCAGAATCACTGTTCTTCATCGCCAGAATCCTCTTTAGGTCAAAGTCCACGACCACAGGTGCAGAATTCATAACTTCTGCAGGAAGTGGCGGCCTCGATTTAATTCTTTTCCTCATGCATGTTTCACATGGACAGTATTCATCATCGTTTTCACTGCGCTGGTCACTATAAGATGTCCCTGTTGCTGTATCATCACTTCGTTCTGATTGTGGATCAACTGATTGTTTGGACATAATTTTCAGCCTCCGTCTTCTCTCTTCCGTTTGTGCTGTTGAAGCACGGGACATCGCTTCTTTAGGAGGTCTTGGTAGACCTGCTCGGCCTTGAATTTTCCTCAGTTCTCTGTCAATACTGGTTTGGATTCTTTTGTGGACCTCTGTTTTAAGTTCACTTATCATCATGTCAAGCTGCTCATTGTCATCCAAGTTCCATCTGACTTTGAACTCTCTCATTGCATTGATATAATGTGTCATGAACTGCTTTTCTATTTTAGTTAATAAAGTTAAGACCCAAACAGGATCAGGATCTTGAGAAATCCTTTTGGCTAACTGTCCTCTTTCAATAATGGGAGGACTGCCAGAACTGCTGTCCTGTCGACATTCGGTTCCAACTTCCTCTGGAACATTTTTGCCATTGCTGTCATTTTCCGAACTCTTGTTTGAGGAGGGTGGTGTTTCAGGTAGTTCTCTTGGACTATCATTGTTTCTAATTGTGTCATCAGTTTCTGGATCATCATCTTTTTGTTTGTCCTCATACATTACTTCTACATCTCTCTCAGATGTCCATTGAGCATCTGCTTCTGCCTCACCTTCATTAACTTCTTCTACTTTACTTAAGGGACCTGGACTGGTATGCGGTCGAGACACATTCACATTCACACCATCACTACTCTTCCCAGAGCCTGTGGAGCCACTGTTGACATCCACACCAGAGGAGGACGTATGAATGAACTCATCATCCACAGAACGGCGATCACCCTTCTTTAACACATGTTGATTTTCTGGAGGATCACAAAGCCAAAGAGATTTAAGAATATTCATTAGCTCTTGGTATCTTTCATCCTTTTCGTTTGCATTTTTAGGATCATGGTCTATTAACTGCAACTTAACAAGGCAATCCAAAAGACCTCTAGCTGAATTGCTTAGTTTACGTCCATATACAGGAGAAATTTCTGGTAAACTGTTACACCTATCAAGCTTTGGATTCAAAAGAACTTTCATCACCTGTACAGAAGAGTGGAATATTTTTGAGTCATCATCTCTCTGAGTACAGGTATTATCTGCATTTGGTGCCTCTGTGCTTGTTTGGCCGTCATCATTAGGGACACTGTTCACCGCAACTCCTTCATTTGCATCTTTTGTATTCTCAGCTGTAGAGTCATTATTGTTTTCATTATCCTCCATTTTATTAATTTCCTCTGTTGTGTTGTCTCCACTTTTCTGTCCATCACAGTTTTCATTGAGTTCCTCCATGTCAAACATATCTCCATCTGCTGGTATTGTTTTCAGCCATTCGTTCACAACCTCAGTAGGGGATGCATTTGGTAGGCTTGATGGGACCAGCTCAAAGTCATCAGCATCTGTGTCTTTCTGTCTACATTTGTTGCTTCTGTCACTTTTGTTATCAGCAAAACTTTTACCAATGTCAGTAGATTCCAATGGACCTTTTGTTATCCTCTTAGACACATTAGTGTTTGATTCACCAGTGGCTGGTGTCTCACAAATCTCTTTGACAATATCTGAACTGGACAGAGTCTGTGACAAATCACTTTCACTTGACTCTGTGTGACAAATCACATGACGTTTTTTTCCTTTTGATTGTCTTGATTTATCTTGCCTGCTTGACTTGCTTGTCTTAGAGTGACAGCTCCTCTTATCGATTGTAGCTTCTTGTTTCTCCTGCTCATGCGCACTACTGTCTTCAGGATTCACACCCTCCACTGCATTTATTGGAGAAACATTGGTTTTCTCATCAGCAGGAACATCAAAGGCTGTGGACATTTTCAACTCCTCTTTATTTTCCACATCTTCATTTGTTGAAATGTCTGTTGTTTTGGACTTTTGAGATTTCATGGACAGATTTGACTTAACAGATAAAGAACTCTGTGGCCGTCCTTCACTTTTCTTTTGTTTAACCTCAGATGTTGTTGACTTTTTTGAACGTGTTGAAAGCTTAGACTTTGATGACATGGCTGTAGGTGCTCTGTCTTCAGTTTCCTCAACTGTCACAGCAGGGACTTCAGACCTGCTTACAT